GCGCTCTACCACTGAGCCCCCTTCCCAGCCCCTGGGTTTTACTTTAATGTTAGTTGGTGCTCAGTAAGTATTAGCATGTAGTTGGTGTTCAATAGATAATACCCTAGTAAATAATCGACAGGTTGGGCTTTGGTGGATATTTATGCTAAAGTTTACTGATTATGTATATGTGTGTGTGCACACATGCATGTGCACACTTGCTACAGGGATTTTAACTCAGGCCCTTATACTTGCTAATCAGGTACCCTACCACTGAATTATGCCTTTAGCCTTTTTCTGCACTGGTTATTTTTGTAGGGTCTTACTTCCTGTTAGACTTGTGCCTAGGTGTCATGATCAGCCTATTTTAGGCTTTTTGTCATAGCTGAGATGACAGGTACATGCCACTACACCCAGCTTCTTCCATTGAGTTGGAGTCTAATGAACTTTTCTGTCCAAACTAGCCTAGAATTGAGATCTTCCAAATTTCAACTTCCCAAGTAACTAGGATTATTATAGGTATGATTCGCTGAAGCCTTGTAAAATTACTAATTTTGTTTTAGTTGCTATTTGTTATTGAGGCCTCTATCTAAGCCTTATAATTTGGTTGTGATGCTTATATTGATAGTTTTTCAAATACTTATTTTAACTGAATGTTGTTTGTACATGTCTTCCCTTAGTTATGTTTGCTTATGAACAGTGCCTGCTTGTGTTAGGCCATCATCCTGATATTTGGTATGAAGCTGCCCAGTATCTGGAGCAGTCAAGTAAACTGCTTGCAGAGAAGGGCGTAAGTATTCCTTCCACCTTTTCTTTGGTCTTTGGTTATTAAATGTGTTTAAACTTGTTATGTCAGTATGAATCTTAATGGTACTCATACATGATTAGACTGTCTGGGAAGATGGCTCAGTGGTAGAGCGCTTGCCTTGCATGCCTGAGGCCCTGGGTTCAATTCCTCAGCACCACATAAGCAACAATGAAAAAAGCTGGAAGTGGCGCTGTGGCTCAAGTGGTAGAGCGCTAGCCTTGAGCTGAAGAGCTGAGGGACAGCGCCCAGGCCCAGAGTTCAGGCCCCACGACCAGACCCCCCCCCCCCCAAAAAGAAAGAAAACTAACTACTCAGGCGGCTGAGATCTGAGGATCGCCGTTTGAAACAGTCCATGCAGAAAAGTCCCCATGAGACTCTTAGCTCCAATTAACCACTCAAAAACTGGAAATGGTGCTGTGGATCAAGTGGTAGAGCACTAGCCTTGAGCACAAATTGGCTCAGGGACAAAGCCCAGGTCCTGAGTTCAAGCCTCACAACTGACCAAAAAAAAAAAAAAGTAAAAACAAATTTGGACATATCCCTAATACCAGGAAATATAGTTTATGGATTTAAATAGGGCATTATCTAAAGTTTATTCTCTTATTAGATATTTAGGATTGCTTTGTCAAATAGTTGAGCTCATATGGAAGCTGTGAGAATAACACTCTGCTTGATTTTTAGACTACAAATCCTTTTTGGGTTTTTTTGCACAGGTATATATCCAATATATGAAATTTGCAAGGAGAGCAGAAGGTATCAAATCTGGAAGAATGATATTTAAAAAAGCAAGAGAAGATACCAGAACCCGCCACCATGTCTACGTTACTGCAGCGCTCATGGAATACTACTGTAGTAAAGTAAATAGATCATTTTAATTCTTTTGTACCTGTCATACTTAAGTATTGTGGATCTAATATTCTTTTGAGTATTTTGCCTGACAGATATTTCATAGAAATCTGTACTTTATTGTCCATACTTCTAGGACAAATCAGTTGCCTTTAAGATTTTTGAGCTGGGACTAAAGAAATATGGAGACATTCCAGAATATGTCTTGGCTTATATTGACTATCTATCTCACCTCAATGGTAAGTTGACTCTAGAATCTTCAAGGATTATTTAATATTAAACCATCTGCAATTATATTATTAGGTTATTTTTTCACTCCTTAAACTGATTAAAAGAAATACTTGTGACCTGCTAACCCTGAAATTTTATTTATTGGTAGATTTCTTGTGACTCTGCAGAATGATCTTTAATAAAGTAAATTACTATCAGTAACTGGAGAAAGGTGCAGTCAGAATTAGGAGATGTTGTTTATATTTTATGTCCCTATTCTGTTATGGTAACTGTAATATAGTCATTCTTTACTGAGTTCCTGTTATGTTCCAGACACAGTAATTCCTCCATTTGTATGTGTATGTGTGTGAGTGTGCATATGTGTGGCAAATAAAATTTAGTTATCAATTATCCAGGAAATTCAGTTTATTCACAAAAAAAGCAACCTTATATAAAAATTGGTTTAAGAATTGTATCTCCATATACATGAGGTTAGGTGTGTAATCTAATTGCAGTTTCTCACAGCAAAATGGCCAGAATCTTGTCAAGATTGAGTAACTTTTACCTGTGTTTTACTTACATATGGTAAACAGTCCATAAATGTTACCTATGATAGAGATGAACACATACACCAAAAAACTGTGCTCAACACTCTGGGAGTATCCTGAATGAAGCAGTTTGGAAGCACAGGAACGAGCGTAGTTGAAGCCCTAGAGCTGTGCTGTTCAGTGAGGCCAGCCCCCAGACTACAGCTCCTCAGCACTTGAATGTGACAACGGCCGTGCTGCACTGATGTGGTGTATGTGTAAAGTCAGTAACATTGTCAGAGACTTGAAGGAAGGAAGGAAGGAAAGAGAACATATCTTAGTTGTTTTTCATGTTGTTTACATGTGGAAATAACAATTTAGATATTGGGGTTAGGGTTAGAGTTAGGATTAGGGTTAAGGTTATACCAATTTTATCACATTTTGTCCCCCCCCCTTTTTTTTTTTTGTTAGTTGTGGGACTTGAACTCAGGGTATGGGGGCCTAGGCCCTGTCTGAGCTTTTTCACTCAAGACTAGCTACCATTTTTTTTTTCCTTGTCAATCATGGGGCTTGAATTCTGGGCATGGGTGCTGTCCCTGAGCTCTTCAGCTCAAGGTGAGTGCTCTACCACTTGAGCCACAGTGCCACTTCCAGTTTTCTAGTGGTTAATTGGAGATAAAGAGTCTCACAGACTTTCCTGTGCAGGCTGGCTTTGAACTGTGATTCTCAGATCTCAGCCTCCTGAGTAGCTAGGATTACAGGTGTGAGCCACCAGTTCCCAGCTTCTCTACCACTTTGAGCTATAGCACCACTTCTGGTTTTCTGGTAGTTAATTGGAATGTCATGGACTTTCCTCCCGGGGCTGGCTTCCAACTGTGATCCTCAGATCTCAGCTTCCTGTGAGCTACCAGCACCCACATTTTACTCCTTTAATACGGCCAGGAGGATATTGAAGTTCTATATTGGCTTAAGTAATGTTTCTGTTTGTGCTGTCCTAGAGGTTCACAGAGAAGGGACATGAGTTGAAAGATAAGCAAATGTTAGCTAAGTAAAGAAAGAGGACAAAGCATTGTCCAGGCAGAGAATCCAGCACTTGGCAAGTAGGGCAAAGTTGTGTGGGATAAAAAAAAGTAAGTCTGGTGGATAAGTAAAGCTGCAGATAAAGCAAGAAGGGTTAAATGTAAATTACATTAAGCTGTAATTCATGACTATGGTGCTACCTTCTTTGGTTGAATACACTTAATTTCTCTTGGTCTATCTTGCATGTAGAAATGTAATACGCTGACAACCATTCTGCTGGATATTTTAAGGGCAACTTTATTGAAGTGTAATTTCTATTCCATCAATGCATCAATTGTAAGCAGACCCCACAGTTTGCATTACAGCTGCACTATGAAGAGATAAACTAAAAGTAAAAAGTCCTGGGCTCTAGTTACCTCTCTGGTACACAATAATAATGAGCCAAGTCAGAATTATTCAATCTTTCTGAACCTCAAGTTTCCTCATCTATAAAAATCAGGTTGTGACAGTAGTTACCTTTCTACCTAGTATTTTTTATGACTTTCAATTATGCTTGTGAAAATTCTTTGTTGCATTATAAAACTGATTTTTTTAATATTTAAATTTTTAAAAATATCCTAGAGGACAATAATACCCGAGTTTTGTTTGAACGAGTTTTAACGTCTGGAAGCCTCCCTCCTGAGAAGTCTGGGTAAGCACTGGGAAATGTATTGGTCAGATTCCAAGGCAGCTGTGTACTTGAAGTGTGATCTGTGGGCAAATGATTGCTTGAGTGGGAATTTCAGGAACAATTTTCCTTCTCACAAGGCTCCTACCTGGAATATTTTCTAATGTGTTTAAGATGATTTATTTCTGCATAATGATTAGCATTTGCCTTGTAATTTATTATTAAATATGTCATTGTGTCTTTCTAGTTATCAAATGTTAGGGAGATATTCTGAAGTTTATCTCCCTTACTCAAAAGAAGATATTCTTCTTAAATATTACATATATCTCCAATGTATGGTTCTGATTCTTGGTCAGTTTTACTGAACAGAACAACATAGTATAGTGGAACACTAAAATAGAAAAGTTTTGGGTTCAAATTCTTCCCTGTCCACTGGACAATAGAAAGATAATAACTTTATTAATCTTCACTTTCTTACTAAGTCTGAATAATGTCCATCAGTGTAGGGTTTTTGTGATAGTTCTGGATGTGGTATAATAGGCACTCAAATTTAATGTAACTTAAATGCTTCATGGCATTTAATCTCAGCATCAGTTTTGGCTGTAAACATGATGAACCATCAGTTTGTCTCTAGTAACATCCAAATTAATGAAAAATATAAATCACATTCGATTTTGGAATATATTTTTATCCATCCATTGGATAAATACATATTCTACATTGAAATTCATGCCAATAAGCATGATGAAGTCATTTCAGGTGAAATTATAACTCTGGCTAGATTCTTTTTTAACTCTTCCAGCTGCAGTTTTCTATCTATGGTCTCTCTGTTGACTGACCACAGAAAATTGGAAGATAGGGGCTGGGAAGGTGGCTCAGTGGTAGAGCGCTTGCCTCGCATGCATGAGGCCCTGGGCTTGATTCCTCAGCACCACATAAGCAAAAAGAAAAAAAGCTGGAAGTGGCGCTGTGGCTCAAGTGGTAGAGCACTAGCCCTGAGCTGAAGAGCTGAGGGACAACGCCCAGGCCCAGAGTTCAGGCCCCATGACCAGACCCAAAAAGAAAAAGAAAAAAAAATTGGAAGATATACTATACAAGTAACAACTTAGAAAAGGACTTAAAGTAGGATTATGTATAATGTCTCTACTTAAGTCAAAGTCTGATGAAAAAAATATGGTGCAATACTAACAATTATTAAATCTGGGTAATGATATAAAGGTATTATTCTATTTCCCTATAGTTTGGAAATCTTTGTAATAAAAAGATTTTTATTATTTAAAAAGAAAAGGGAAAACATTAAGGCTTTTTTAAAAAGACTCTGGGCCCGAAACCCAGAATAACTAAGAAGTGATTTTTTTTTTTTTACAGAGAAATCTGGGCCCGATTTCTAGCTTTTGAAAGTAATATTGGTGATTTAGCGAGTATACTCAAAGTGGAGAAAAGGCGGTTTGCAGCATTCAAAGAAGAGTATGAAGGCAAAGAGACAGCCTTACTGGTTGACAGATATAAGTTCATGGATTTATACCCTTGCTCTGCAAGTGAACTGAAAGCCCTGGGATATAAGGTATGCTCCAAGGATCGGGATGTTTGTGATGTCTTTCCTTTCCCAATGTTTTAGAAGAACTGATGGATAATTTTCATTCTAAAACAAATTCTGAAATATATATATTACTACAACAGGAAAAAAGTTCTTTGGTTTATGAAACATTGAGGACCAAAAATAGCTGAACAAAATTAAAATTAAATGTTTGAGATACAGCAAACATTTTTACTCTGTCCCTGACTATCAGTATCTTATATGCCATTTTTGGGGCAAATAGAAATGGTGTACAGGGGAAGAAAAACAAAAGAAACCTTGAGTGTTATTTTATGCACTTTTATGCTTGTTTGTTTTTTGCTGTCCTGGGGTTTGAACTCAGGGTTTTGTGCTTACTAGCAGGTGCTATACTATGTCAGCTATACCTCCAGCCCTACATACTACTTTTTTCTTTTTTGTCGGTTGTGGGGCTTGAACTCTGGGCCTGAGCGCTGTCCCTCAGCTCTTCAGCTCAAGGCTAGCGTACTACCACTTGAGCCACAGTGCCACTTCCGGTTTTCTAGTGGTTTATTGGAGATAATAGTTTCATGGACTTTCTTGCCCAGGCTGGCTTTGAACCGCGATCCTCAGATCTCAGCCTCCTAAGTAGCTAGGATTACAGATGTGAACCACCGGCGCCCGGCCATACTACTTTTTTCTGATAATTCTTAAAAACTGATGAACATGTTTTGACCGATTATATAAATATATATATATATAGTTGTTGTTGTTGTTTGATTGGTTGGTTGGTTTTTGTGCCAGTACCGAGGCTTGAACTCAGAGCCTTACGATTGTAAGAGGTTCTTTGCTCAAGGCTGACACTTTACCATTTGAGCCACAGCTCCACCACTGGCTTTTTTTCTAGTTAATTGGAGATAAGATACTCAGATTTGTCTATCTGGGCTGGCTTCAAAGCATGATCCTCAGATCTCAGCCTTCAGAGTAGCTAGGATTACAGGCACAAGTGCCGGCTTGACAGATTTTACAGTAAATTTACTAATTCCATGTTTGTTTTCTTAGAGATAATGAAAAAGCATGATAGCTTCTTAAATCCATAAAGTTCCTTGAGAAATTTACATCCTAAAAACAGTGTTCCTTCAGTGGCCCTCAGGGGAATTAGCTCAGGTAGCAATGGATTCTTTTAATGTAGACTAGAGAGTCATGAAAAAAAAAAACCCAAATCTGGTCCTTGAAGCTTTCTAGGCCAGAGGGAAGAGGAAGAATTAGCCCTTACTGAGGAAACCATTATTCCATCATTCTTTGACTATTTATTTATTTATTTATGTAGTCAGTCCTGGGGCTTGAACTCAGGGCCTGGTAGGCACTGTCCCTGAGCTTCTTTTTGCTCAAGGCTAGCATTCACTCTACCACTTGAGCCACAGACACTTCCAGCTTTTTCTGTTTATGTGGTACTGAGGACTCAAACTCAGAGCTTCATGCATGCTAGGCAAGCACTCTACCACTAAGCCACATTCCAAGCCCCCTTTGATCTTTCTATGCCATATGTACAAAGATCAAGATGGAAATTCAAAGAGAAGATATATATAGGCTCCTTTAAGGCCTCTCTTCCTTACTGTGTCTGAACTAGATTAAAAATATTGAAGCCAGGCGCCGGTGGTTCACGCCTATAATCCTTGCTACATAGGAGACTGAGATCTGAGAATCTCGGTTCAAAGCCAGATTAGGCAGAAAAGTCCATGAGACTCTTATCTCTAATAAACCACTAGAAAACAGGAAGTGGCGCTATGGCTCAAGTGGTAGACTGCTCCCCTTGAGCTGAAGAGCACAGAGACAGCGCCCAAGCCCAGAGTTCAAACCTCATGACCAATCAAAAAAAAAAAATATTGAGAAAAAGTTTGTTTGGAGTTGGCTGTGTGTGTGTGTGTGTGTGTACGTGCACACGTGTGTGTGTTTCACTTGCATGTGGGCACATATGTTTGAATATCAGGGACTGAGAGCTCAAGGCTAGCTCTTAACTTGAGCCACAGCTTCACTTAAAGCTTTTTGGTGTTAATTAGACTTTCTAGCCAGGCTGGCTTCAAATCATTATCCTCAGATCTCAGCCTCCTGAGTAGCTAGGATTACAGGCATGAGCCACCAGCACCCAGCTCTATTTTTAGTTTCTTTTTGAGCCAGTGTTGGGCCTTGAAATCAAGGTATAGGTGGCACTCTACCATTTGAGCCACAGCTCCAATTTCTGCTTTTTTTTTTTTGGTGGTTGATAGAAGGTAACAGACTTTTCTGCCTGCACTGGCTTTGAATCTTGATGCTCAGATCTCAGCCTCTTTAATAGCTAGGATTACAGGCGTGAGCCACCAGTGATTGGCTTATTTCAATTTTTCTAAGATGAATATGAAAACTAAGGATGACAGTAAAGATTTAACTATTTCTAAGCAGAAGTAGAACTACTTGAGTATAAATTTTTCATCTTGTATTTCTAGTTCTACTCTGTTATTTGGGAGGAATTAATGTGCTTCACCAGGTGTTGATGGGGAGCGTGGTAAAAGAAATTTCCTGAGTGCCTATTCTTTAAGATTTAATACCATATAATACCCAATGTCACTAGCTGCATTTGTGCAGATTTTGAGACCTATGGTAACAAATGACTATTGTGTTCTTTTGATGTAACTTGGAGGGTTCTCAGCCCTTGTAGGGTCCTACTAGTACATTGTAAAGAAGAGCCTGGGTTGGTCTGAGATCAGGTGCTAGGGGCTCCCAACCCTCTCTCTACTTCTTAGGAGCTCTGTGACTCTCTGAACTTCAGTAGCTTCTAAATAATGAAGACATTTCTAATTGCCTCAAAAAAGGAATACAGGAAGTGGCGCTGTGGCCCAAGTGGTAGAGCGCTCGCCTTGAGCTGAAGAGCTGAGGGACAGCGCCCAAGCCCAGAGTTCAGGCCCCACGACCGACAAAAAAAAAAAAAGCAACACAGACAATGGTTAAAACTGCCTGACAAGTAGTGTCTGCTTCATTTCCCCTGTGCTGGTACGATGAGGAAAGCTTTTCATTTTATGACCAAACTCTTTTAGACAGTGTGGGTGGTAATAAACATTAACATTCATGAAGCAGGACTTCATTTCATTGCATTTACTATTGTGCAATTCTAGTGGGAGAATTGAATTTTCCTCCAATCAACCTATCACCTTCAATTTTCCTCCAAACCATCCCACCCTCAATTTGATGCTCAGTCCCATGACTTCCCCACAAAGCTTGTATCTATCCAAAATGCCCCTACCTGGTGACAGATTCTAACAATTCTTAGCTGGGGTTGGGTTAAAGTAATGAAACACCAAGTCTTCAATCTAGCTTTTCTATTCAACTCTCTTTATCATCATTAATGCTCTTGTTTATCCCTCTCCATTCTCTTCTGTTAACCCAGTGGTTAACCCAGTGATTCCCATTGTATCCTTAAGATTATAGTATTGCACAATTACACTCTCTTAAGAACCTTTTCAGGTTTAGGATTCTTTTGTTCTGCATTTTCAGGATGTCTCCCGTGCTAAGCTAGCAGCTATAATTCCAGACCCAGTTGTAGCTCCTTCTATAGTGCCTGTTCTGAAAGATGAAGTGGATAGAAAACCAGAGTACCCTAAGCCAGACACTCAGCAGATGATTCCATTTCAGCCACGACATTTAGCACGTAAGCCATGACTTGAGATCCAGTAATGAAACCTCAGTTTGTCTGTTTATTTAAGTCCAAGGTATGGGGTGGGGGAAGTAACGTGGCCTTTTCCATTGTAATTATTAGACTTCAGGTCACTATGACAAGTGACTTGGTTGGTGGCAATCTGTGAAGTGGATGAACTAAGAATGTTCCTAAGAATAAAACCTTCAGTGATGCAGATTTCAGTAACCCATTTTGGCAGTGAACTGGACTGTTTTCTGAAATGCTGCTTTGTGCAGCTTACTTGAGCAGCTGGAAACTCACTTCAGTGATGTTATTTGGTATCACAGTTATTAGTGATTAGTAATGCCTCTAAATCTTATCATGCCTGTAAATCTTTTTTTTTTTTTTGCCAGTCCCAGGGCTTGAACTCAGGGTCTGAGCACTAGTACTCTACACTTGAGTCACAGCACCACTTCCAGCTTTTTCTGATTATGTGGTACTGAGGAATCAAACCCAGGGAGGGCTTCATGCACGCTAGGCAAGCACTCTACCACTAAGCCACACTCCCAGCCCTCTAAATCTTTTTTGAACAAAGCCCTTCTGATTAAAGATGCTGTTGAATATGCAGATTTTAAGCAGTATGGCTGGATATTTGACATGTCTGGCTCAGAAACAGGTCTTCCTTTAGTTCAGTGCCTTGGTGATCTTGTAGAAAGTCCTTTGTCTCCCCTCCAGTTTCACAGTGACCCGGGGGTTGAGACTGCATTTCCTGTCTTCACTACTTGGGTTGATCAAGAAAAGCACTCAAAGCATTGCAGAAGGTCCAGAAATAAGCTGTAGAGAACAGAAAGCCATCAGCTCACGGCTTGGTCTCTGTCCTTTCATTATGAAAGCTGTCCCACCATCAGCCTCCCTTTCTTTCCCCCGCAGCTCCAGGCTTACACCCTGTCCCAGGCGGAGTGTTTCCAGTGCCCCCCGCAGCCGTCGTCTTGATGAAACTTCTCCCTCCTCCTATTTGTTTCCAGGTTTGTTCACTGTTTGCATGGTAGACACTGGTTCTATGGAATATAGTAATTGTAGACTTTTCTCTTGTATAATGGAAAATTCAAAGAACTGCTATTTTAACTAGCCAAGTAATGGGGATTAAAATTTGTGTCAAAATAGGGTCCTTTTGTTCAAGTGGATGAATTGATGGAAATTTTCCGAAGATGCAAGATACCAAATAGTGAGTAATGCAAGCTCCTTTTTCAGTGTGCAGTTCACATTATTGTCTCTTGGGCAGGAGAGATTGCTATTTTTTTTGCTATTGAGTTCTCAAACCAACAGGTCAAATTGCAGAAGTGAAATCAAACCCAGGAACAAGCTGAGCCTCTGGAACAAAGGATTGCTCATAGTCTAGCTCCACTAAGTCAGATCGCATCAATGCTTAGCTTCTTTATTTGAGAGAACATGTCCCATCAGGCTTATAAAATAATTTTATTAGTTTTAATAGCAGCTTGTTTTTTCCTGTAATGTAGAATCATACTGTCAATGCTCTGCTAATAGTAGGCTATGAAATGAGCCATACAGAATCAAATAGAGCACGTGTATTCTTTCATAGTAGCATGATTTTAAAGCATCCTCTGATGTCCCTGTCCTTGTTCCAACAGCTGTTGAGGAAGCTGTGAGGATCATCACTGGTGGGGCCCCCGAGCTAGCTGCGGAAGGCAATGGCCCGGTGGAAAGTAATGCAGTACTCACCAAGGCCGTCAAAAGGCCCAACGAGGATTCAGATGAAGATGAGGAAAAGGGGGCCGTTGTCCCCCCTGTTCATGACATTTACAGAGCGAGGCAGCAGAAGCGGATTCGATGAGGCAGCCTTAAATCCCGCCTCTGACAGCTCTTACCCAGGATTCCCTTTTTGCCTCATCTGTCACATGTTTAAGAGACAATGCTTTGTTACAAGGTTCTTGGAAACAAAGTTGTATTGTCATTGGTGCCTCTATCATATGGTTCTTGAGAAGAAAAAAAAAAACCTGTGTGAATTTTAGAATATGGAACAGACCTACGCTTTAAGCAACATTAGGTTTTACAAAATGTGAGAACAGTACAAAATGAAGAACCACATTTTGTTCCTTCTTCAAGGGTGTCCCACATGTGCCACCGGAAGATGTGTGCGTTTCCACAGTTTTATTTTAAAAACTGGATGGCTTATGATTGTAAAGCATTTTATCACATTTTCTGAAAAAGAGTTGTTCTCAGTTTGCTTATGTAGAGTCCTGCCTTATTGTTTGTTTTATTTATGGCAGAATGTATGGAGTCTGTTTTGTAGTTTAAAATTTTAAAACAGTCCTTCAAAAAATAAAAGTATGTAAAAAATTGCCCTCCTCTGTTTCTTGCATCCAGATTTTATTTCAACAGGTATTTATTTTCTATTATTCAGCCAATAACATTTAAAATAAATGTCAGCAATGCAAGGAAAGGTCACCTTGTACTTACTGTGTGTGCTAGCAGTGAATGAGATAGCCTTTCCTGCTCTTTCTTTGGTACAAACTGAAAATATTTTTAAGAGGAAAATTAAACATTTTAAAATTTTCAAATATGAATGCATTTCCACCAGTTAAAGATGAGACATAGCAACATATTTCATTTTTATTTTACAAAAGCAACATAAGTGTGAGATTCCTTCAGCCACCCACTGTCATTCTGTTTTTCTTTGAAAGGTGTTTGGTACTCAAGTACATTTTTTTTTTACTAGCTAAACACTGATAGTATGAAAGGAATTATAGCTGATAAACCAAGTTTTAAGTACAGTGAGCAAAAATTTGCAATGCAGACTAGGTATCTAAACTACAAAACTCCTCATTTTTAGAAAAACTACTTACATAGAAAACCAGTTTAGCCTAAAGAATTGTGATTCAAAATGAAAGGGAGGCGGGAAAAAAAAAGGAGATATTAAGGAAGAATCAATAAACCACCAGAACACTGGAAATGGCGCTATGGCTCAAGTGGTAGAGCACTAGCCTTAAACTGAAGAGCTGAGGGATAGCGCCCAAGCCCAGAGTTCAAGCCCCATAACAGACAAAAAAAAAAAAAAAAAGGATTCAGGGCTAGCTAGAGGCATGGCTCAGCAGTTGAGCATCTGTCTAGCAAGCTTGAGGCCATGAGTTCAAGCCTCAGTACTGTCAAATAAAAGGAAAAAGAAAAATAACAGTTCAAGGCCATCCTAGACTAATACAGTGAGTCCACATCTCAAGAAAAAAAATTAAAATGTATAAAAATTGGCTTCTTTGTCATCAGACTTCAAACAAGATTCTATAGCTGTTGCCACACTTAGCAAAGTAAAAGGACATAGAAATGTAAACTCCAAACAACCAAATTAAAACATTGAAAAAAATGAAAAATACCACTTTATTCAGCATATTGACTTTGGTTAGTAACTATGAATTTATTTGGTACTTGTACAAAATTGGCCCACAGATAATATGTGATGAGTTCCTTTACACAAAAGTATAATTGTCCTGTTCATAAATTGTTTTTTTAAACGTTTCCTTCCCAAAGCAAACCATTTAATTGGTAGGTATTCCTTGACTGTAACATTAGTAAAAATTTCAAGTTTCTAAAACATTGTTGTTATCAAGTAACAAAATTCTGTTACCATGCTTCTGACTTAAGCAGTCTTAAATAACTCAGAAGTGTCAGCTTCCCAACCTTTGGGAAAGGAAGTCAAGAAAAGAACTAAGTGCAGTGTTACACTTCTCTAGTTCCAGCTACTGAGGAGGATGAGGCAGGAGGATTGCTTTAGCCCGGGAGTTGTTCAGCAGCCTGGTCAACACAAGACCCCACAATCATCCTCCAGAAACAAGAAAAGAAAATGTAGTCATTTAAAAATTTCCCTAGGGCTGGGTGCCTGCCGATGGCTCACACCTGTAATCCTAGCTACTCATGAGGCTGAGATCTGAGGATCATGGTTCAAAGCCAGCCCAGGCAAGAAAGTGCATGAAACTCTTATCTCCAATAAACCACCAGAAAACCAGAAGTGGCGCTGTGGCTCATGTGGTGGAGTGCTAGTCTTGAGCTAAAGATTTAGCTCAGGGACAGTGCCCAGGCCCAGAGTTCAAGCCTCATGACTGACAGAAAAAAAAAAAAAAACAACCTTCCCTAAGTACTGACCAAAGCTAATACTTTGTGGTAAAGAAGCTGTCCTTTAAAAGCAGAGACAAGCAGAACTCTGGTTCAGGCAGCCAGCACAGGCAAAACTAGTGACATACCATCTCATCACCTTATCGCCATGTGCGGTGGCGCAGCCACAGTCCAAGCCGGAATAAATGCAGTACCACATCCCAAAATAAAGTTAAAAAGGCTGGTGTCTGCCTAGCGAGAACAAGGCCTTGATTTCAAACTCCAGTACCACTCCCCACCCCACTCCCACCAAAAAAAAAAGACAACATGAATAATATAGGAAGTCGCATTTGAAGTTTTGAGTGCTTAAACTTAAAAATGATTAGGCTTATGGGAAATGAAATTTGACTAGGGCTACCAATATGAGATAGATGAATTTGATTTAAAAAATCTATGATTCTGTGTTCACTTCGGCAGCACATATACTAAAATTGGAACGATACAGAGAAGATTAGCATGGCCCCTGCGCAAGGATGACACGCAAATTCATGAAGCGTTCCATATTTAAAAAAAAAAAATCAATGATTTTCCATCAGGTCAAGCCTATAGTTTAGTCCTGGTTCTTTCATTCAGAAGCCTGTATGTTTCATCCAAGTGTGACTGAGCCCCATACGAGGGGCAATTTTGAATAAAATTCCTTTGAGGCTATCGGTATTTGTTTCTAGGAATGATATTTCTGAAAATGTCAGTGAACGTTTGATAGGCTCATAGATAAAAGCTAGAGCTTCCTTTATTTATTATTTATTTATTTTGGGTCCCATCATGGGGCCTTAACTCTGGGTCTGGGCGCTGTCCCTCAGCTCTTCAGCTCAAGGCTAGTGCTCTACCACTTGAGCCACAGTGCCACTTCCGGGTTTTTTCTTTTTGCTTATGGGTGCTGAGGAATCGAACCCAGGGCCTCGGGCATGCAAGGCAAGCGCTCTACCACTGAGCCACCTTCCCAGCCCCAGCTTTCTAAATTTAAAGATTATTCCTTCTAGCCAGCATCAGTGGTACACACCTATAACCCTAGCTACTCAGGAGGCTGAGATCTGAGGATTAAGGTTCAAACCCAGCCTGGGGCAGGAAACTCTGTAAGACTCTTATCTCCAATAAACCACTCAGAAAACCAAAAGTGGAGCTGTGTCTCAAGTGGTAGAGCATTTACCTTGAGCTGAGGAGCTGAGGGACAGCGCCCAAGTCCAGCATTCAAGCCCCATGACCGACACAAAAGAAAAAGAAAAAAAGATTATTCCTTCTTTCACTTCATGAAATTGTTTTGCATCCTATAAAAAGGCTATGCACAAGCCAGGTGGTGGTGACTCACGCCTATAATCCTAGCTACTCAGGAGGCTGAGATCTAAGGATTGCGATTCAAAGCCAGCCAGGGCAGGAAAGTCCAGGAGACTCATCTCCAATTAACCACCAGAAAGTTGGGAGTGGCACTGTGGCCCAAGTGGTAGAGTGTTGCCTTGAGCTGAACTGAGGGACAGTGCCAGGCCCAGAGTTCAAGCCTTATGACTAACCAAAAAAAGAAGGGTATGCATTAAGTAATTATATAGTACAAAGGCAATATAATACACAATTGCAAATATCATTATAATTATTTATTTAGATTTTTAAGTGAGATAATGCTTTACACTCAAAGTTTCATAGCCCATAATCCATTAACATTCATTCATCCATCCATGTGTTCATTCATGCATTTCATTCAGTTCAAATAATGTAGGAAATGGAATGAGGAGGAATCACTGGGGTGTAGTGGTTGTCTGGAGGTCAGGAAAGAGAACACTGAGCTCCCACACAGGAAGAAAGCCTCCCTCTGGACCTGTAAAAACATGCTCTACTGAAGGGAGGCTGGGTACTACTGCTGAATCTATCACCGAGCAGATATATGCCTAAAGGCAGAGGACTAGACATTCTCTTCTGTTATAATAAAGCAATTTATAGCCTTTTCCATGTACGCAGCATTCTCATACCCATTACAAATTTGGTCCTCACCGCAACAGTGTCAGTTATTAGGCCTAAGAAACAATGACTAAACAGGTAGTAAGAAGACAAAAAGAGTCAAACCCAGATCTACATCAGAAACTGCAAAACCCTACTGTCACTGAAGGTAAGAGTTAGAAGGAGCCTTTCATTTTATAGGTATCCAAAATAGCCCCTAACTTACCATAGCTAGTACATAAACCCTGGTTTCTTTGTGTTTTTTTTTAAAGAATTGAATATTGCATTTGTGATATCCATAAACGTTGCTGTTACATATTTCTATCCTAGAAGACAATTTTCTCTTATTACCAGTTTTTATTTTAATCCACAAATATTCATGTGAACCAAGCAGAGTACATTGATGCTTTCCTTTACAACAAATCTGGTTTCTTTTTCCCCAAATCAAAAGAAACTCAATGTCCTCATTTTGGCAAGTCAGAGCTTGCCAAACAGCAAACACTTCACCCCTATAAAATGCCAAGAAAGATGGCCAGAATACTTATTCTGTTCCCAGAGTCTTCAGAGATAAGAGGAAGCAGCTCAACACAAACAGAAGTGAGGAGGGCCCGCTCAGAATCCTGGCCAGAATGTGCACACTAAAGGACTATATGCCCAAGACATTTAATAACTTTTCTTCATAGAGAAAAAAAAAATGCTGCTGGGCACCGGAGGCTCACGCCTGTAATCCTAGCTACTCAGGAGCCTGAGATCTGAGGATCACAGTTCAAAGCCAGCCCAGGCAGGAAACTCCAGGAGAATCTTTTCTCCAATTAACCACCAGAAAACCGGAAGGAGGGCTGTGGCTCAAGTGGTAGAGCGCGTGCCTCTACTGACCAAAAAAAAAAAAGCTACACACCTACTTTAATCAGCAAGACATCATATCATGAAGTATATTTATAGTTGAGTTACAAAGTTACATAAATAATCACATTTTACAGGAATGAGCTTTTTCTGGGAGTGTTTTTTGTTTTGTTTTGGCCAGTTGTGGGGCCTGAACTCTGGGCCTGGGCGCTGTCCCTCAGCTCTTCAGCTCAAGGCTAGTGCTCTACCACTTGAGCCACAGTGCCACTTCCGGCTTTTTTCTTTCTGCTCATGTGGTGCTGAGGAATCAAACCCAGGGCCTCATGCATGCAAGGCAAGTGCTCTACCACTGAGCCACCTTCCCCGCCCCCAGGAATGAGCGTTTTTAAATTCCCACCCAGAGTAAGAATCTATCCACCTATCCATCAACTGAGCCTACAAAGCAGCAGTCATTGCTCTCATTTATTCATGACTATCAACTTAGAGGCGCAGGAATACTGACCTCACTCTCAAGGTGCTCAGTTCTATGTGTGTGTGGTAAAGAATTCTTGAATACATAGAAATTCATGAGAAGACATTTGTCTCTAAATCCTCATGGCAAGAAGTCAAGTGAAATACAAGAATCAAATCTTTTTGTTGTTGTTGTTGTTGCTGGTCCTGGTGGTTTTTGAACTTGGAGTCTTGGTGCTGTCCCTGAGCTTTTTGTTCAAGGGTAGCACACTACCACTTAAGATAGAGTTCCACATACAGCTTAATTTCAGTAATTAAGTGGTGATGAGTCTTATGGACTTTCTTGCCCAAGCTGGTTTCAAGCCATGATTCTCAGATCTCAGCCTCCTGAGTAGCTAGGATTACAGCCTTGAGCCACCAGCACCAGGCTGAATCAAGTCAACTCTGAAGGGTAACTTATACTGCAAAGGATGCCTGTCTCGGAGAGCTTGTAAGGGATAGTTACAAGCAAATGCTTCATGTGCTTCCTGAGTAACAAATGAACTAAAGGAACTTTTCTGGTTCTCACTGATAATTCTGTGAGATTCCAGGAAGCAAGTTAGCTCACTGGGTTTGTACAACAACAAGAAGAGACTCAGTGTGTACACTGGGACTCTGAACTTTGCTCCTTTGTTCCTGGCTTCTTTCAGCAGTGGAACTCTACCAGTGGACAGGGAGGCGGTGGTAGCGGAGTCTGTGAAGCTCTGTCAGGAATGCATTAAGATTCCAAACTACCCACGCTCAGCTCTGCTCTAGCTCAGCTCCGTGAGGGATTAAAATTTGTTTTTAAATCTTAAGAGTCAACTTTTATAATAGAAGCATTTTTGAGATTCAGGAAGTTGCTTCAGAAAAGTGGGGGAAAGATCCTTCCCTCATCTCTGGAGAGGAGCAAAAGCCCCCAAACTCGAAAGCAAGCAAAAAGTGCTGAGCTGGGTACCCGAGGCTCTGTGACCCAGGAACCCAAGTGAGCATCAGTGAGCGCCTTCTGCTCGTTCAGCATTCTACAAGAGATGGAATTTTTCCCTTCTTTGAAAATACTCACCTACAATATGGCCAGCTCACAGAGGCCCCAGGCTCTCCCTGTCCAGTTCACAGAGGCCCCAGGCTCTCCCTGTCCAGAACTGAAGCATATTCCTGGCTGTTTTTTCATTAGTCATACCATTATAGATAAGAAGTAACTTTAATACTGATCTGCTTGCATATAATTATCTGAATTCCTACAAGCAAATAGAAGTCCTTTGTATAAACCTGGGACTATGAGCAATTTCAAAATTAACAAGAGCAAAAAGCATTTTGAAAAGTATTGAGTGTCACAGAGTATCCGATCGGTGCCATTGCATGTACCAATGTGCCAGTCCTACCGTATGTAATGCCTACTCTGTGGTGGTCTTCAAACACTCCATCCAGCACACTTCATTGGACAGTAAGATCGGTGTTCGCAGTGAAGTGTGGCCTTTGCCCCCAGCTGCTCTGGACTACTGCTGGTCTTCCCCAGACCTTTCTGAAAGAGCTTCCAAGTTTCTTCTACCTTTTTGTCCAAACATCTTTAATACTGGCTATTATTAAATGATTTTCTCTCTTTTTGTCCTCCCTTCCTCCGCCCTTTGTTTTGGTATTGGTGATTAAATCCAAGGCCTCATGTTCTAAGTAACTGTTCCACCACTTAGCTACTACACCTCCAGAATACTGCTTGGCATTCTGGGGAAGAAACCAGAGAAAACCTGTCCTTCAGTTTACATTTTAATGACTTTCTTTTTAATGCAGCATGTATTTATTTTTTTATTTTTTTTGGGGGGGTCCGGTCGTGAGGCCTGAACTCTGGGCCTGGGCGCTGTCCCTCAGATCTTCAGCTCAAGGCTAGCGCTCTACCACTTGAGCCACAGCGCCACTTCCGGCTTTTTTCTTTTTGCTTATGTGGTGCTGAGGAATTGAACCCAGGGCCTCAGGCATGCAAGGCAAGTGCTCTACCACTGAGCCACCTTCCCAGCCCTGCAGCATGTTTTTATTGCAATGAAAAAGCAATATTACAGCAGAACTTATAGCATGTTTTTGCTGCCTTGACCTCTAAATGCTGGGATTGTAGACTTACGCTCTCACACTCAGTTGATCTGAAACTTGCCCTCTAGACCAGGCTGGCCTGGAACTGATCCTCCAGCCTTGATCTGCGTGCTGGCAGTACAGGTGTGCACCACCACACCCGGTGTCTGGATGCCACAAGTCACTCTTCAGTGAACAGTGTAAGGGTGAATGGTCCTATTGCCTCACCCCTACCTTGATAAAGGGATTCCTTGCATTGTTTTGTCTCTTGTACTCCACCAGCTCCGGGCCTCTGCCTCTAACGTAACACCCCTGTCTGAAATCTGTATACGTGCACACAAGTACATTGTTTTTACCAGAACAGGCCACCTGCACAGGGCATGCCTGGAATTCTGGTCACCCAAGTTCCTTGATAATTACTAGCAGGGATTTTTCTAAGACTTCCCTATCTAAACCGGCAAAGTTGAACTATATTGCCCAAAACCACTTAAAGCTAACTCCAGAATTCTGATTTAATATATCTATCATATCAGAAGGAATTTTTCAAAAGAAGAAACATACATTTCTCTTCTTTCCTATTATATACTTAATTATATACATAAACTTTTCTCTGTAACTTTCATGGTTTAAAGATGAAACAATTTTTTTTAAGATCCCATTCTTTATTACTGCTATTGTTTTATGTTTGAATTGAGGTTTCACCACACCCTAGACTGGTCTTCACTCACTATCCTCCTGCCTCAGCCTCCCAAGTGCTAGGATCACAGGTGTGCACCACCACACCCAGTTCATGTGGCTGAGGAATCAAACTCAGGGCTTTGTTCACAGTAGGCAAGTGCTAAACCACTGCACTACATCCCCAGCCCAACAGAACAGCCTCAAAACTCAAGTCAGTCTTCATAGAACAAAAGGACTCCAGGCACAGAGGAAGCAGAAGATAGGAGAGGAGGACAGTAAGACTACTGGTAGCCCTTCTGACATGAAATTCTTGGAGGGGAAGGACTAGAAGGCTGTTCCAGGGAGGGACAAGAGGTAAAGTCATGGCTTAGTCCCTTGGACTCTGGGTAGCTCTCGGCATGGGGAATATGAAAGAACTGCTCAGAAGAGAGAGGTCCCACTTCTTGGGAGAACATGGTGCTACACTCGCCAAGGGGTAGGAATGGAGACAGAGGCAGTCAGCTGCTAAAAGCTGAGTGTTATCTATAAAACTTAAGATAACAAAAAGCTTTGATTTGTAAACTTACACTCATAAATACAATCTCTCAAAATAGAATTCAGTGCATTCTTCAACAAGTCTTTTCAACAGTGATAGACAGTCCTTCCATTGGAATCAGTGCTGTTAAAGAGCAATGTACTACGTAGCCATTTTCCAAAGCAACGGTATAGCTGAGAACAAGTATTCTGAGGAGAGTGACTAATACTGCTGCTGGAGGGAGCGCACAGTTAGGGGCGGAGGAGCTTACTGAGGATTGCATCATAGTAGGGGCAGAAGACCATCTTGTTATAGTTGACCAGGCGAACGAACCTCACAGCAACTTCCTCCAGCTCTCTCTGAATGGGACTCAGTCCCCCAGGCACAGTGGGCAATGGCTTCTGCTGACCAGAGGCAAGGTAGGTTTCCAGGAAGGTGATGATTCGGGACTCTGCAAGGCAGAAGGGGCATTAGCAGCTTCTCATTCAAGATGACTTGACAAACTTCTCCTTAGCCTTCAGTCCTTGGTTTAACAACCAGCTCCGGAAATTCTTTCCTATCATCTCCAGTTCATGCACTCAGCATCTTGTACTTCTGAGCATTTGTCCCAGTTGTAATGTGGACCTCCTGCTCCACAGAGTTTCAAGAAGACAGAAACTAGGCCTAGCACAGTCACCATCCTCTCCGTAGCCCTCACGACGCCTGGAACATGAGGCTGCTCCCTAGGAGAAGTCCAAACCCCTGTGCAATTAAGAATGCCTGTGGAGGGGCTGGGAAGGTGGCTCAGTGGTAGAGCACTTGCCTTGCATGCCTGAGGCCCTGGGTTCGATTCCTCAGCACCACATAAGCAAAAAGAAAAAAGCCGGAAGTGGCGCTGTGGCTCAAGTGGTAGAGCGCTAGCCTTGAGCTGAAGAGCTGAGGGACAGTGCCCAGGCCCAGAGTTTAGGCCCCACGACCCAACCCAAGAAAAACAAAAAAAGAATGCCTGTGGAGGCCGGGCGCTGGTGGCTCACGCCTGTAATCCTAGCTACACAGGGGGCTGAGGTCTGAGGATCGTAGTTCAAAGCCAGCCTGGGCAGGAAAGTCCGTGAGACTCTTATCTCTGATTAATCACCAGAAAACCGGAAGTGATGTTGTGGCTCAAGTGGTAGAGCACTCGCCTTGAACTGAAGAGCACAGGGACAGCACCCAGGCCCAGAGTTCAAGGCCCGCGACCAACAAAAAAAAAAAGATTGCCTGTGGATGACCAAAGAGTAACTGGGATGCTGGCATGTTCCACTCTCAGCCACTGTTCAAAACAACATAGCAAGGAAAAGACAGCAGGAATCACAGAGCCAAAACAGACAAGAGGGCTGGGTGTGCAGCTCCAGAGAGCACGAACCGGGCCATGGGTTCAATCCCCACCCCTGGAAGGAAAGGAGGAGACAGAACAAGGAGGAAGAGGGGGAGGGGTCACGGAGCTCGCGATGTCCCTTTCCCTGCTGAGTCCACGTGAGAGAAGCATGAGCTCCTTTTTTTTTTTTTTTTCCAGTTGTGGGGCTTGAACTCTGGGCTTGGGCGCTGTCATTGTGCTCTTCCTTTTTTTTTTTGGTCACTTGTGGGGCTTGAACTCTGGGCCTGCATGCTGTCCCTTAGCTCTTCAGCTCAAGGTTAGCACTCTACCACTTGAGCCACAGCACCACTTCCGGTTTTCTGGTGGTTTATTGGAGATAAGAGTCTTCTGGACTTTCCTGCCGGGCTGGCTTTGAACCGTGATCCTCAGATCTCAGCCTCCTGAGTAGCTAGGATGACAGGCACGAGCCACCAGTACCTGCTATGAGCTCCATTCTTTGGCACCTACAGTGAAAGTCCAGACACTGGAGTAAGTCACTACCATTGAAGCCTTGTCCTATTTAAGATTATGGATGAATATTTTAATATCATCCATGTTTTACACTCTCCTGTATAGCCTTACAAAACAACGAAACATTCAGTGTTGGGTGCTAGTGACTCACGTCTGTAATCCTAGCTACTCAAGAGGCTGAGATACGAGGATAGAGATTCTGAAGCCAGCTCAGGAAAGCAAAGTCTCTTAAGAATGTCTGTAAGACTCTTCAACTGACAGAAAAAAACAGGAAGTGGTGTTGTGACTCCAGAGGCAGAATGCCAGCCTACAGCGAAAAACATACAGGACACAGCACCCAGGCCCCATTATCTACACACACACACACACACACACACTTACATACATACATACATACCCATGATCCTGCGAATGGGGTCCTCAGGGCTGGCCACAGCTAGAATCTGGCCCTTGAGCACAGTCTCCTTGTCCGTGGAGAATGGGGAGAAGCCGCACTGGGAGAGGCGGCTGCTCACCTCCAGACACACTTTTTCCCCGGTGGAAGTGAGAGCGTTCTCTAGATGGAAGGAGCTGGAGCAGAGAAGGAGAGGAGTCAGGGGAGAAGGCGCCATGTGCAGCTCCCACCAGCCCCACCAGCTCTGCCCTGAGGACAGCCCCAGCACCAACCAGTGGACTGACTACTTCAGGGGACCCCCTGGCTCCCCTCCCTGCTCCCTGACCCCTCACCTGCACCCCCTGACTGGGAAGAACTTCCAGCCCACCTCTCTACAGCTTCACTCCTTACTGGTGTGTGGTAGTAACGGAAAACCTCTGGCATACGAACACGGAATTTGCAGCTACGAGCTGAGAGTGGGAAGGAACGTGCTCACTGAGCTCTCTTGCACCCATCTGCAATCTTGGAGCATGTGGATGCATCCTTTCTGCTGTTTCAGCTGTGCTCGGGGAGGGGTCAAACCCAGGCTTTTGTGCGCAGGCAGGCCCTTTACAGACTGAGCAATACTCTGTAGTATTACACGTTTTAAAAGGACACCTCGATTCCTTGCCCCCCTCCCAAACTCCCTAGGCTCCCGGTGGGAAAGGCATTTAATTTTTAGCTACTTTAATAATGACTACAATTTACTGAGTACTTCCCATCTATATGTAAGGACAAACTAAGGGCTGCTGTGGGTCTAGACCCTCTGCACAGGAGAGGGTCTGGACTTTCTGGGGAGTGAGGGAGCAGGCCTGAGGACTCACTGGTACCAACTCTGGGCAGCCCTCTACTGCCTGGGCAGTTACGGGAATGCCGGGTGGATTCTTAGAAAGCTCCCAGCCGATCCGCCTCACTCCCCCACCCCCACCCCCACCTGGCAGCTTTTGTTTTTTTTGCCATTCCTGGGGCTTGAACTCAGGGCCTGGGCAATGTCCCTGAGCTTCTTTTACTTAAGGCTAGCCCTCTACCACTTAAGCCACAGCACCACTTCCAGCTTGTTTCTGTGTTATGTGGTACTGAGGAATCAAACCCAGGGCTTCATGCATGCTAGGCAAACACTCTACCACTAAGCCACATTCCCAGCCCTACAGGCAGCTTGGATAGAGCAGTTCTACTGGCAGGGGAATTTTGGTAAGAGCCCATGGCTAGAATCAACTGAGCTAACAGCCTGCTTGGGCTGACTCACACCCTAGTCATACACATGGACAAACCACTGATGCGGTGCGCTGAGCAAGCCCGCCTTGTGCAAGTTCAGCAGCGCAAGCTCTCCTCTGGGTAAAGGTCAGAATGCGGGGACGGGAGCAGGGAGTGACTGCCTGCACCTGAACTGGCCTTGTCAGACGCTGGACTCACTCAGAACCATTCCAAACCATTCTACGTGCTGTACATCACACAAACCAGCTCACAAGACTACACCGCAGGGCTGGGAAGGTGGCTCAGTGGTAGAGCGCTTGCCTTGCATGCCTGAGGCCCTGGGTTCGATTCCTCAGCACCACATAAGCAAAAAGAAAAAAGCTGGAAGTGGCGTTGTAGCTCAAGTGGTAGAGCGCCAGCCTTGAGCTGAAGAGCTGAGGGACAGCGCCCAGGCCCAGAGTTCAGGCCCCACCACAGGACCCCCCCCCAAAAAAAAAAAAAGACTATACCGCAGGAGGAGTTGTTAAAGATTTCACAAGCTGGTGCTGGTGGCTCAAGCCTGCAATCCTAGCCACCCAGGAGGCTGAGATCTGAGGATCGTGCTCCAAAGCCAGCCTGGGCAGTGAAGTCCACGAGATTCTTATCTCCGATTAACAACCAGAAAACCAAAAGTGGCGCTGTGGCTCAAGTGATAGAGTGCTAGCCTTGAGCTGACAAGCTCAGAGACAGCACCCAGGCCCAGAGTTCAAGCCCCATGACTGACCAAAAACAAAAGACTTCACAGACGTGACTTGTGCTGCATTATAGCATGGCCTGGGCATGGTGGCATGGAAGGCTACAAGGAACATGCAAGATCTGGTGTACGCCTGGACTTTCTCTTCAAGAGCTTGGTAGGGAGCTAATCACTGATTAGCTGGTTGGTACCTTGGTTTCTCTAACACTGTGTTTTACAGCTAGTTGGTTGTGAAAGCCATTCAGTGGGTAGCAACCAGAAAAAAAACTTTAATGGAAAGTATCAGGATGTATTAAACACAATTCAGTTAAGTTCCATTATGTGGGGGTTTTGTTTCAGTTACATTAGATAGATAGGTGTGAATAGGTCACCATGGAAAATGAATTTCTTACTTCAGGATCTGACACAAATATGTGCAAAGCACTATTCTAGAATCTTGCTAACCAGTTCACTGGAGCGCAACCCTATGGCCCTCCGTGAACTCCAGAGCAGTCTTCACCGGTAAACAAAGTTAGAGAGCAAAGCTCCAGCCTCACCCTGGGAGCGCCTGCTCCAGGCGTTCACTGCTACCTACCACTCGCACTTGCTCACTAGAGGCCCACACCCCACCAGCCCCGGCCACTCACGGCAGGTGCATATCAGCTAGCAGAATCTTCACAATCATCTTGAGCTTCTCAGCAAAGTCATTCTGGCTGGAAATCACAGGGGCTACCGTGCTGAACGTGACCAGCAACACAGCTCCCAGGATGGTTAGTTGCTCCAGCTGAAGCTGGAGCTCTTGGAAGCGACACTGGTCCATCAAAACAGTCTATAAAGAACAAGAGAGAAATCATTGTCAAGCAGATTCAGGATGGCCAGCAGAGGGCAGCACAGCCCCAGCCCAACCTGCCTCAGTTTTCCTCAGGATTTCCTAGTCTCTTCAGAGCCCTGGGCAGCTTTTGTAGCCTTTCTTTCCATCTCAGTGCCCTTCTTGCTGAGAAGGATGCAGCACAGCACACTTGCTAAGAGGCTGAAGCACGCTGGGTGTAAATTCGGACCTGACAGCCTGTGTCAAGCAAGTCTCTTTAACTCTGAGGCATATGTAAGACGGGGTTTCCTACCTCGCAGGGCCTGTGTGAAAGGTAGAAAAAATCACACATGTAAAGTGGCTGGTAGAGCTAACCTCCGGCCTCAGGAGTGACAGCCATTGGAGACGAAAGGGCACTGAGAACAGAGCTGGGACTACTTCTAGTTTGTTCAGGACTGTGGTGCAGTCTGTCCCCCGCAAATCAGGAAGTCACCCTGCAGGGCAATGGAGGGAGGGGCTCCTTGAGGGCAGAGCCTACACTCACTCCCCCTGGCCTCCCTCTGGGCACCCAACACAGAGGACGCTCTCAAGAACTGGCAAGTGAACAATGACAATAAGAAGAAAGAGCAGTGGACAGAGCAGGGCTGGAGCAACCACAGCAGCCTAGAAAGCGGTCATCTGCGTCCACTGGTGGGAGCACTTGTCCCCTGTTACAGACAGCTGTGGTCCTGCTGAGCCGGGGACAGGGAAAAGCAGCAGAACGGGGCTGGATCTGGGGACCTCAGATCTGAGTTTTCACAGGATAGTCAAACTTTAAGGAAGGAGATGCCAAATGAAGATATTCACAACTGGGAGTTCAGAGCTCCAAGTTGCCAGTATGTAAAATTATTGCTGATGGGTGAGGACTGTGTCGTTAAACACCGCTCAGTATCATTTAGCAACAGTGTCCACTGCTACATCACAGTAATGGCAACAGTGAGCAGGGCTGGAGGACAAAGAAATTTTCAGGATGAATTCTACGAACAGATGCCTCTGCCAGGCACTGGTGGCTCCCGCCTGTAATCCTAGCTACTCAGGAGGCTGAGATCTAAGGATCGCGGTTCAAAGCCAGCCCAGACAGGGAAGTCCATGAGACTCTCATCTCCAATAAACCACTAGAAAACCAGAAGTGGTGCTGTGGCTCAAGCAGTAGAGTGCTGGCCTTGAGCTGAAGAGCGCAAGGACAGCGGCCAAGCCCAGAGTTCAAGCCCCAGGATAGACAAAAAAAAAAAAAAGAACAGATGCCTCTCCCCCCAGGAAAGCACCATCTCCCCTCAGCCATTCTTTGAGAGGAATGTCAAGCCAAGAACTTCTCTCCAGAAGATCACAGGCCACCATTCACAAATGAACCTTTCCCTACAATGCCACACTGCTGTGAGCCCCTCCTCCAGCACCAACAGGGAACTCTGAGACAAGAGTAAAATCAGAAACTTACAGGGTTTTTTTGTTTCTTTTTGTCAATCATGGGGCCTGAACTCTGGGCCTGGGCACTGTCCCTCAGCCCTTCAGCTCAAGGCTAGTGCTCTACCACTTAAGTCACAGCACTACTTCCGGCTTTTTCTGCTTAGGTGGTGCTGAGGAATTGAACCCAGGGCCTCATGCATGCAAGGCAAGCACTCTACCACTGAGCCAACTTCCCAGCCTATGAAACTTACAGATTTTTTTTAAAGTATAAGAAACTTATGAGAAAGGTATTTAGAGAAATAGCAGGATGTAAGGCTAGAGATAGGAAGTACAAGCACCCTAAAAAAAAAAAAACAGGGGGAGAGTTATTTCTGGATAAAATGGGGAACTCACTATTTAATCAGCCCTTTAATAATTACTGCAGTACTTGTACTGAAAAGGAAAAGAAGGCAAAAACATTGTACAGCCAGGAAGGGGAAGAAGTTTCTAAAAAGCTATACAGCAATATGTAGTTGTGAGTTTTTTGTTTTTGTTTTTTAATTGAAACAGGCTCTTATTATGTAACTCAGACTGACCTGGAACTCAGGCCCTCCAGTCTCAAACTTCTGAGTGCTGGGAATACAAGTATGAACTACCACACCCAGTTCAATGTTGTGGTTTCAGTAAAGATGAAGATAAAAGCTAGGTAAATGGCAGATGGCTAAGGCTGGAGGCACTTGGGTTGAGTGACCAGCCAGGGTTACTTGGTACTTAGCAACACCTGATTCAAAAAAACAAGGCTAGGGCTATAGATCAAGGCAAGAGCACTTAACTAGCAGGTACAAAGCTCTAAATTTAATCTCTTGCACTGCTCTCCATCCCTAACCCTCAAAAAAAAAGAAAAATTCAGCAACATAAATTGTAAGTATTATAGTTGCCTGAAGAGCTGTAGAATGATGCCACTGCTAATAGATTCTTAAAAGGTTAACCTTAAAGTCACCATGTAATCCTATAGTTCTAATCTTAATATGCAATTAAGAAAATTGCAAACATGGCCAAAAGTGAAAGCCCTGTACACCTGCAATGCTAGCTACTGGGAGGTAGAGCCTGGGGCATCATGTTCAAAGTTGGCTACAGGGACATATGCTTTGTCATCCTAGCTATGTTCAGAACATGGATGGGAAAATTGTGGCCCAGGCAAGCCCAAGCAAAAAAACAGAAGGAAAGCAAAAAGGGCTGGAGGTGTGGGTTCTGCCCAATGAGAACAAAGCCCTGAGTTCAACCTCCATGACTGTCCCCCATCCTCAAGAAAGTAGAAACAATCTAAATGCTCATCAACAGAGAAATAAATAAAATGTGGTGTACCCACATAGTAGGATCCATTATTCAGTACCTAGAATGGTTACAGTAGTATACACACAGCTAGAGGGGTGGGGGGAAGACAACCATCTGATGGGTGGGGTTTTATAGTGTGGGACAATAGAAACATTCCGGAGATGGACAGCGGTGATTGTTACACAACAATGTGAATGCACTCAGTGCTGCTTAACTGCACAGTAGCGATGGTAGAAGCAACTTTAAGGCATGTGTATTTTACCACAATAAAAATCACAAGAAAAGCCAGGTGTGATGGTGCATGCCCGTAATCCTACCACTTAGGAGGCTGAGGCAGGAGGATCAGAAGTTTGGGACTGCCTTGGGCTACATAGCAAAGTTCTGTCTCAAAACAAACACAAATGAAAGAAAAAAAGGGAGGGGGATAGAAGGAGCTGCTCATACATGCTACAACGTGGGTAATAGTATGCTTCATAAGAAAAGCTTAGGGCTGGGAAGGTGGCTCAGTGGTAGAGCACTTGCCTTGCATGCCTGAGACCCTGGGTTCGATTCCTCAGCACCACATAAGCAAAAAGAAAAAAGCCAGAAGTGGCACGGTGGCTCAAGTGGTAGAGTGCTAGCCTTGAGCTGAAGAGCTGAGGGACAGCGCCCAGGCCCAGAGTTCAGGCCCCATGACCAGACCCAAAAAAATAAAAAGAAAAAAGAAAAGCTTAGACACAAAAGGCCCCAACTGAATGATTCCAGAAATTTCCAGAAAAGGGAAATCCCCAGAGAGCAGGATATCAGTAGGGGGAAAGGAGTGAGGGAGCGAGTAGTGACTTGTCAATGGGTACAGAGTTTCTTTTGGAGTGATGGAATGTTCTAAATTAAATAATCATAGTTGTTTCATAATTGTGAAAATGCACCATGAATGTGAATTGTAGGTGAATTTTATCAGAATGCTACTCTAAAAAAAAAATTCAGTGGCACAAAGAGAAGCGTGGGAGTTGGGCAGCTCCTACCTCAGGGAAAGGCCTCCGAAGGTGGTCCCATTTCAGAAGCTTCAGGTATGCGTAATTCTGGACAACCACGGGAGTCAGCGCGGGAGCATCTCCAGAGCCAGCGGCCTCTCCTGCAGCCGGCAGGGCATGTTTGTGCTTCTGAGTCATGAGGTCACCCGAGGCTTCTTCTAGCCACTGGGTAACAAAGTCTAGGGAATCTGAAAAACAAAGCTGCAAAAATTATCCTGACACTTAGGGGGAATGCTTCTTGGAATTAGAGAATAAACATCACAACCAATAGCATGTGGTCTAGGCAAAATAGCAGATTTAGGATGTAGACAAGTGTGCACCACTCACCTGCCAGCCTGTTCTGATACAACCCCTGGCAAGCCTTGCTGCCCACAGGTGCTTGACAAGCCTGCCTTCCTGCTCTGCCTATCCTGAGCACTGCATGCAATGTAGCTGGAAGCTGTGAAGATTCCAGCTCTGTGAGATGGCCAGAGTTCTTGCCTAGAGACACACGGGGTATAACCCGCTGGAGACAGCCCTGAGTAGCATGTCCTTTGCCTTGCCTTCTCTTGTCCACGTCTCACCCTCATCAGCCAGGATTCCCCACAGCTCAGTGTTTGATGTGAAGCCCATGGTGCTGTGAGCACTGGGGAGCCATTGGTTGACCTTCATCTGCCAGCATGCTCCTTTTGCTTGTCTAAGCTGAGCTGTGTAGCAGATACCCTAAGGATATACAGAAAGAGCAAAAAGTTTGCCTCTAAGGGCCTGGAGGTATTGCAGTCTGCCCACAGAGCCCTCTATGAAGCCCAGTGGGCAGGCAGAGAGGCGGTAGCTTACAGTCCACTCCTCTGTTCTCTGCGGGCTCCTGATCCCCCAGCTCAGTTCATTTGGACTTCCAAACCATCTCGCCTATCTACCTTCAGTGTTCTACAGACAGCATTCTCTGCAGAGAAGCACCAGGCTCTGACAGCCAAGGACCATGGTGAGGCTTCCACTCTGGCACTTTCACTATATCTTGTCTCTCTGGTACCTCCTTCTAACACTAAGGCTCTTCAGCTTCCATACTTATGCCTCCTGGAGTCTCCTGAGAGGGACAATGTCAACTTCTTCTTACAACACTTCTACTGTACTCTTCCTAACTCCTCCTGTTCCCATGCACCCCTCAGACTTTTCTGTCTGGTACGGGAGGAGCCAACTGCTTGGGGCACTGGATGAACTAATCTGATCAGGCCACACGCTCTATCCAGACTGCCATTCTCATCTTGTCATCAATATAGCTGGACCCTGAATGGATTTCAGCATACACTGTATCTGAAGACTGAAGATTGCCCAGAACATCAACTGCCAACATAGACACTAAAACAAAAACAAAACCTCACTCAAAATACAATATAGTTTCACATTCTATACTCCTTTGCTTTCCTGCAGTATTCTGAGAGGTTGATAAAAACAGGACTTTTTGGTTGGCACCATAACTCAGGACTGAAAGTACGGGGAGTGACTTAGGAGATGGAGTTTGGGAGAATGATTGTTCTGAGACAGCCTGGGCAAAAAGTACACAAGACACCATCTCAACCAGTAAAAAGCATAGCATGGTGGTACACATTTGTCATTCCAACTATACAAGAAGTATAAATAGGAGAATCACATTTTAGGCTAGCTTGAGAAAAAAAGAAAGAAAGAAGGAAGGAAGGAAAGAAAAAAAGAAAGAAAGAAAGTAGACTTTTCCTGGGCATGGAGAGAGACATGCATATAGACCAGAAAAATAAAGTGAAATGTCTGCTATCTCCAATAAGTAGGAGAAGAGTAAATGAACTCACAAGAAGTATGTCATCACTAGGCACTGGGCTCATGTCTGTAATCCTAGCTACTCCAAGGGTCCAAATCTGAGGACCATGGTTCAAATCTAGCTTGGGCAGGAAAGCCTACGAAACTTTTATCTCCAACTAACTACAAAAAAAAAATCTGGAAGTGGAGCTGTAGCTCAAGTGGTAGAGCACTAGCCTTGAGCAAAAACCTCCAGGACAGCACCCACGCCCTGATTTCAAATCTTAGGACTAGCCAACAACAACAACAACAAAGATGTCATGAAAATATAACTCAAACTGCTGCTTTCACTTAAAAAAAAAGAGAGAGAAGATTTTCACTTTTTCTTTTTCTTTTTTGTTGGTTGTGGGGCCTGAACTCTGGCCTGGGAGCTGTTCCTCAGCTCTTCAGCTCAAGGCTAGCGCTCTACCACTTGAGCCACAGCGCCACTTCCAGCTTTTTCTGCTTATGTGGTGCTGAATCGAACCCAGGGCCTCATGCATGCAAGGCAAGCACTCTACCACTGAGCCACCTTCCCAGCCCACTCTTTTTCATTTCTATACTCATGCCCTACCCATATTGCTTTTGCTTGCCAATTAAGTTTTCTTTTTAATCCTGAACAATTCTCGATGTAGTCCTAACAGCTTGTTTCTCCTTCTTCAAATTAGATTATTCTCATACATAATTTTAGTTTTGTTTTGAAAAAATATTGTTATTCAACAAGCCACAGCAACTAAAGTGAAAAAAAAATTTTTAAGAAACCACAAAGTATGACACATACTTGGCTGTTTCTCCAAAAACTCCTGGAACTTCTTCCTCTCGTATTCAACCGACTGCTGCATGAGGTGGGGCCGGATGCTAGTGATAGCAAAATTGGCCATGTCCATTTTCATTAGGTCCAACACAGAAAAAATCGCCCTGAAGGAAATAAGGATTTATAGCCAGGCACTTTTTAGATTAAGGAAAAAAAAAATTAGCCAGCTACCAGTGGCTCTCCTCTATAATCCTAGCTACTCCGAAGGCTTAGATTTGAGAATTGAGATTAGAAACCAGTCTGGAAAGAAAAGTCTGTGAGACTCTTATTCTCCATTAACTTATATACCCAATTAACTACCAAAAAGCTGGAAGAGGAGCCTGTGGCCCAGGTGGTAGAGTACTAGCTTTGAGTGAAAAAGGCAGTATTATAGTGTGAGCCACCAGCTTCAGGCTTCATAAAACTTCTTTTCCTAGGTACCAGTAGTGAGGCTTGAACTCAGGCCCTGTGATTCTTTTTCTCAAGGCTAGTGCTCTACCACTTGAGCCACAGTGCCACTTCCAGCTTTTTCTATTCTTTTTTTTCCTGTCGATTGTGAGGCTTGAACTCTGGACCTGAAGGTTGTCCCTGCACTCTTCCGCAAGGCTAGTGCTCTACCACTTGAGCTACATCGCCACTTCTGGTTTTCTGGTGGTTTATTGGAGATAAAAGTTTCACGGAGTTTCCTGCCTGGGCTGGCTTTGAACCATGAGTCTCAGATCTCATCTTCCTGAGTAGCTAGGATTACAGGCGTGAGCCACCGGCACCCAGCTAATTTTTTTTTTTTTTCTTTTAATCAGTTGTAGTGCCTGAACTCTGGGGCCTGGGCGCTGTCCCTCAGCTCTTCAGCTCAAATCTAGTGCTCTACCACTTGAGCCACAGCGCCACTTCTGGCTTTTTCTGCTTATGTGGTGATGAGGAATCGAAGCCAGGGCCTCATGCATGCAAGGCAAGCATTCTACCACTGAGCCTCCTTCCCAGCCCTGAATAATTTGTTGGAGATAAGAGTCTCATGGACTTTTCTGCCTCGGCTGGCTTTGAATTACAATCTTCGGATCTCAGCCTCCTGAGTAGCTAGGATTGTAAGTGTGAGCCACCAATACCTGGAAAAACATTTCTTAATTTCCAGGAAAACTACCCAAATACTAATTTCTCAGGCAGCATTATGTCACTTCTTTGCCTATACTAGCTTAAAAATTAATAAAATCTGATCATAACTATATATATTGAAAATTAAATATTGGACTATAAATACAGTTCAGTGGTGGAGCACTTGACTTGATTCTTACCATATCCAAAAACTTTTTTTGGGGGGGTGGGGGTCTGGTCGTGGGGCCTGAACTCTGGGCCTGAGCGCTGTCCCTCAGCTCTTCAGCTCAAGGCTAGCACTCTACCACTGAGCCACAGTGCCACTTCCAGCTTTTTTCTTTCTGCTTATGTGGTGCTGAGGAATCGAACCCAGGGCCTCAGGCATGCAAGGCAAGCACTCTACCACTTTGAGCCACAGCGCCACTTCCATTTTCCTGAGTGGTTTATTGGAGATAAGAGTCTCAGGGACTTTCCTGCTTGGGCTGGCCTTGAACCTCAATCCTCAGATCTCAGCTTCTTGAATAGCTAGGATTACCACTGGTGCCCAGCAAGATTTTTTTTTTTTTGGTCGGCCGTGGGGCTTGAACTCTGGGCCTAGGCGCTGTCCCTCAGCTCTTCAGCTCAAGGCAAGCACTCTACCACTGAGCCAACTTCCCAGCCCCCAAAAACATTTTTTTTTTAATATCCAAAAGATGAAACAAAAACTGCGTTACTAAAAAGATTTTTATTTTTCGGGTCATGGGGCTTGAACTCTGGGCCTGGGCGCTGTCCCTCAGCAATTCAGCTCAAGGCGAGCGCTCTACCACTTGAGCTACAGCGCCACTTCCGGTTTTTCTGGTGGTTATTGGAGATAGGAGTCTCAGGTCTCTCCTGCCCGGGCTGGCTTTGAACCGCAATCCTCAGATCTCAGCCTCCTGAGTAGCTAGGATTACAGGCGTGAGCCACCAGCGCCCGGCTTAGGAAGATTTTTTATGTTAAATTTCTTTAATTTTTTTGGCAAAAGTTTAAATATATATATTTATATATGTTTGTTTTAATTGTTGGTTGTGGAGCTTGAACACTGGGCCTGGGTGCTGTCCCTCGGCTCTTCAGATCAAAGCTAGTGCTCTACCACTTGAGCCACAGCTCCACTTCCGGGTTTCTGGTGGTAAATTGGAGATAAGAGTCTCACAGACTTTCCTACCTGGGCTGGCTTGGAACTGTGATCCTCAAATCTCAGCCACCTGAGTAGCTAGGATTATAGTCATGAGCCACTGGCCCCTAGCTTAAATATACTTTTTAAATGACCATATTCTTGGGAAACAGTTGCTGAAATATTTAGGAGTAATATGGCACAATGTCTGCCACTAACCCTCAGAAAGTGAGAGGGACACTTACACACACTCACACACACACACACACACACACACATAAAGATAAAGCAATGTGACATGAAAGCTCTTCAACTGATGGTACTCTTCCTAAAACTTTCTTATAGGTTTGGCATTTTTCAAATGAAATGTTAAGAGAATGACGTATGAAATAGAAAAATCTGGCATCAACATCAAAATGAAACCAGTGATGTGGGTAAATTTCTTCCTTCTTCCTACTTTGCAGTATTTTAAGTCATGTTTGCTTTAGTTATGTTTTCAACGCATGAGTCTCTCCACTTCAGGAAGCTGAAATCTGAAAACAGGTTTTGCATTTGGCTGCCCAGTGACTGATACATTTCCATACCTGAACAGGGGCACTAGTTCCTTAATGTCCTTCAGTTTGTTAACTTCCTCATCTCGAGCAGGTGCACACAGTGTCCCCATCATGTCAATAATAAATTCTGCCAGCTTGGAAATGTCTAGGGCTCCATTTTCTGCTTCTTGCTTCATCAGATCCAGATCCAAGACTTCCGTTATCTGGTTCCTCAATCGAGTGTGACCAGGCAGCAAGAAAGATAAGAGAATCTTCAAGAGAGCACAGCGAAGTTTAATCAAAAAGTTTCTTAGTCTGGTTTCCTTTTTAAAAAAATTATTATAAAAGAGGGGCTGAGAAGGTGGCTCAGTGGTAGAGCACTTGCCTTGCATGCATGAGGCCCTGGGTTCGATTTCTCAGCACCACATAACCAAAAAGAAAAAAGCCGGAAGTGGCTCTGTGGCTCAAGTGGTAGAGTGCTAGCCTTGAGCTGAAGAGCTGAGGGACAGCATTCAGGCCCAGAGTTCAGGCCATACAACCGGACCCAAAAAATAAAAAATAAAAATAAATAAATAAATAAAAGAAATGTCTGACTATTGAGATAAAGGTTTACTAACATATATTTTAACCTTTTACTAAACAAATTTATAGGGGAAAAAAAAACAAAAGTCATTTAGAATAGCTATTGAAGCTCTAAATAACAATATTATAGATTCAAGAAAAGACAATAATGGAGCAAAAAAAACACATGAGCTAATCACTGATTTCAATTTACACAGATTAATTCCTCTTTAATAATATTGTTAACAGCATTACAAACAAGTCTTTTCCTCCCAAAAGCCTTCTGTTCCAAAGACTGAATTAGTGTGTGTGTGTGTGTGCGCATGCGTGCGTGCGTGTGTGTGTGTGTGTACATGTGTGGCTTGAACGCAGGGCTCTGTGCCCTCACTCTGCTTTTTTGTTCATAGCTAGCATTCTACCACTTGAGCCACATCTCTAGTCAAACTTATAAGCCGATAAACTGGAGATAAGAATCTCTCGGATTTGTCTGACCAGGCTGACTTCATCCCCCAATCTAAGTTAGGATTACAGGGGTAAGCAACCAGCACCTGAAACTTTTTGGCCAAAACAACTGAATTGTCAATGCTTATTAAAGTTTATGAATAATCTATATTTTATAAGTTCTGTTATTTTGAAACAATGATTATTAAAAACATGAACTTTTATTTTAAAAGAATAATGCTAAGGAGGCTGAGGAGCTAAGGATAACAGTTAAAAATTCATGAGGTTCTTATCTCCAGTTGGAAGGACTCTAGCTTCTGAAAGACAAAAAAAAAGCTGGAAATGGAGCCATGACTCAAGTGGTAGAGCACTGGACTTCAGCAGAAGAAACCATGGGGCAGTATCCAGGCCCTGAGTTCAAGACCCAGGACTGGCAAAAAAAGAAAGTAACACTTTCAGGTTTCTATAAGCTGCTTAAAGTTAAAAAAAAAAAAAAGCACTAGGTCAAAATACTCATTTCAAATTTTGGGAAATAAGTTGTGTTTGTGACCATAGATTTCTTTCAAGTCATTTGGAGAGCACACAGGTGAAACAAATGCCTTCAGCATCAGTAATAGCGCCGTGGTAGAACATTACCCTTGAGCACAAAAAGGCTCAGGGACAGTGCCCAGGCCCTAGGCTCAAGCCCTAGGCCAGTATTTAAAAAAAAAAAAAAGCCTATAATCCTAGTTACTTAGAGCGCTGAGATCTGAGGATCACAGTTTAGAGCCAGCCTGTGAAGGAAACTCCAAGAGAGTCATATCTCCAATAAAACTACTCAAAAAAGCCTGAAGTGGCTTTGTGGTTCAAGTGGTAGAGCATTTGCCTTGTGCAAAAGCAGCTCAGAGATAGTGCCCAGGCCCAGCATTTAAGCCCCAGGACAGGCAAAACAAAAACAAAAACCCCACAAATGCCTTCAGCAGCACTCTTTCATCTTTGTCTTACCTCTCTGATTTCTCCTACAAGTTTGATAGCATGGTCATACGTTGGGGGGTCTTCACTTAGCTGGGCACTCAAGCAATCCCAAAAAGCTTTATGTACAATCTCTTTTACTTTCTTCCGCAAGCTGGAGACAGTGGGGGGAAAAAAGATAGAAACTAAAATATTGGGGCCTCAAATCATTTTCAAAATCAGTCGATGGGGATGATAGTAACAAATCTTTAAAATAAAAAAGGAACCAAGAAAGATTTTCCAGAAAGATTCAAACTGATAACATACTTTAACTTTCAGTTTGTGATTAGGAGGAATCATTTACAGCTAATTTATTAACTAACATTGGTGCAATTAGTAGCTCAAAACAGTGTTAAATGATGAAACAACTATGAAAAATTAGGTCATTAATTTTTAGTTCCTGATAATAGCAAGTTTCTAAGATTTAATTAAATAGTTTAAGATAACAATTCAACATGTTAGCCGTTGGAAGGACCCTTTTCTAAAAATATCCTATTCCCAGATGATAAATGGAATATTGCTTAACTAGGTACAAAACTGTATAATTTATTTATACCATTTCTTTCCTCCACCTTTTTTTTTTAAAAAAAAAATGGTGCTAAGGATCAAACCCAGAGCCACATGCTTGCTAATACACACTACCATTGAACTACAGCCAACTCACCAATTCTTCATTATTAACATGAATAAAAACTATGTTTGTAGGCATATTAGAGGTATCTTGATGGATGTATTTAGAAACCTTCTGTTGGAGACAGAAACCATTTCTTCTGTTAGCAGAATGCCAGTGTTTTACAGGGCAGCATAAACTCTGCCTATGAAAATGAATGATGTCTGATCCTAACAAGTTCAACAGAGCTGATCCATTCCTGGTTGCCAGATTGAACATTTCTGGGCTCATTACAAGCTGTAGTAGATTGTGACCAAATCTAATGAACAAAGTATTATGGGATACCTGCTTTATGAATCCAAAGATAGATGTTTCTTCTCAGAAAAGGAAGAGCCCAGTCCTCTCCCCAACTTGTCTGGAAAGCTGGTGAATAATGGTGCTTAGTAGCTGTGACATCTGTCCTGCAGCCATGAGGAACAGGCCAAGAAAGGGGCACACATACCAACCAGAGTCCTGACATCAGGGAACTGTTAAAGGCATCTATATCCAGATTTCCTTGATTCTAAAACAAACTTTCTTCACCCTCTTAACATCTTTCCCTTGAAACAAGGTTCTCTTTTAAAATCAATGGCACTTTTACAATTATAACAGTGTCTCTTCTTTCAAATAACAATTCATTTTTAGTCTTTTTTTTTTTTTTTGGTCATCTGTCATGGGGCTTAAACTCAGGGCCTGGGTGCTGCCCTTAAGCCTTTTGTGTTCAAGGATAGTACTCTACCACTTGAGCCACAGCACCACTTGCGGTTTTCTGGTGGTTAATTGGAGATAAGAGTCTCATGAACTTTCCTACCCAGGCTGGCTTTGAACCTAGATCCTCAGATCTCAGCCTCCTGAGTAGCTAGGATTACAGGTGTGCGTCACCAGCACCCAGTTAACAATTCATTTTTAAAAGATTTATTTTAAAAGATACAACCAAGAGTTTTAGATTTAACTAAAAACTGCTATGTCTTAGGTACTAGGGGTTGGGAGAACACTCTCATGCTTATCTTTATGGAGTTTAAAATTTGGAACAGAGACAGGCGCTGGTGGCTAATGCCTGTAATCCTAGCTATTCAGGAGGCTAAGATTGGGGCTGGGAAGGTGGCTCGGTGGTAGAGTGCTTGCCTTGCATGCATGAGGCCTTGGGTTTGATTCCTCAGCACCACATAAGCAAAAAAAGCCAGAAGTGGCGCTGTGACTTCAGTGGTAGAGCGCTAGCCTGGAGCTGAAGAGCTGAGGCCCAGAGTTCAGGCCCCACCACCACTACCACCAACAACAAAAAAAGAGGCTGAGATGTGAGGATTGCAGTTCAAAGCCAGCTCGGGCAGGCAAGTCTCCAATAAACGACTAGAAAACCGGAAGTGGTGCTGTGGCTCAAGTGGTAGAGCGCTCACCTTGTGCTGGAGAGCACAGGGAAAGCACCCAGGTCCAGAGTTCAAGGCCCATGACCTACCCCTCCCCCCCAAAAAAAAAAATCTAGACTAAAATGCAAGTCAGCCAACAACTTCAATACAAAGGAACAGATGGACAGTGCTCTGAAAAAAAGCAAAATAAGGCAGCTATGAACTGATATGAAAGTTATTTCTGACTTCCACACTTTATTTGCATACTGAAGTATCAAGATCCGAATTCCTAATCTAGGAATGTTTTTAGCACTAGTGTACAACAGGGAAATGTACTTTAATATATAAGCATGACCAGAAGGAAACATTTCCAGAACTGGGCGATGATAGTTTTCACAAAGTTAACAAGGTGAAAGCAGTGGCCATCTTACCTGTTTTCTGGTAATTCCACTGGTTTAAGCTGAAAGTCTCCATTGACTACAATTTCATGAGCTAGAACCATGTTGGTGATGCCTTTTGCTGTCTCTAGGAGTTCTTCTACTGCCACAAACTGAGGAGGACTGGCTGCAACAAAACCCAGGAAAGGGACTTAACTTCTCTCCCTAGAATTTCTGTTGAAATAAGCAAACCAGGTGCCCATGGCACACTCCCATGATCCTACATACTTAGGCAGCTGAGATCTAAGGTTCAAGGTTAGAAGCCAGCCGTGAGACTCTAATCTACAATTACCACCAAAAAGGCTGGAAATGAAACTGTAGCTCAAGTGGTAGAGTACCAGCCTTGAACGAGAAAGCCAAATAAGAGTGTAAGACCCTGAGTTCTAGTCCCAGTAAGAGTATAAAAAAATGTATCATAGTCTGGACTCTGGTGACTTATGCCTAAGTCTGACTACTCAGGAATTTGAGATGGAAAGATCTAGGTCTGGAGATAGTCAGGGCAGAAAAGTCTATGAGAGTCTTATCATCACTTAACTGCCAATAAGTAGAAAGCAGAATTGCGGCTCTTGTGGGAGAGTGGTAGCATTTAGCACAAAAGCCCAGGAACAGCATGCAGGCCCTGAGTTAAAGCCCAGGACAGGCAAAAGAGAAGATTAATTAATTAATTAATTAAGAAGGTGGTAACTCTAATAAAAGGAAATCCTTTTTATTCTCAAATAGCAAGATAACTTTGGTTATTCTATTTTCCTTTTGATTATTGTATTTAGGATCCAAAAGTGGAGATCACTCACAATACTCAAAACATCTGATTTTCACTAAACAAGGTGAATGGTAAAATCATAGCAGTAAACTGAGACTGAAAACTTGTTACAAGTTTTCATTTTCCTAGTAAGCTGACCATTTGTTCTAACCCCTCTGCTGCCTTTTTTAACCCTACCTCCTGTTCTAACCCTTCTAATCCTTTTTCTTCTAAGAGAAAAAGCTGATTCTGGATTTAACATTTTCTTCTGCTTCCATCATCAGTTTTCTTCTCCCACTAACACTCTGTCATGAAAGTATCTCTCCAAATTCAACTAGCTTTAGTGTTTTGGTGCTCCTTTTTAAAATTTTTATTCTTTTAGTAGTACTGAGATTTGAACTCAGGACCTTGCTTGGCTGGCAGGTGCTCTACCACTTCAGCTATGCCTTTAGGCCTTTTTACTTTATTTGTATTTCTAATGAGCCTTGTGTGGTCTTAAAAACTACAACTTGAGAAGTGCTTCCCCTGGCAGATAATAGAGTGATTTTTACATAATGATGAGATGTGGGCTTCCAATGAATCAGAGAAGCCAGTAATGGTTTGCCAAGGATTTAACAATTATAGAGTCATCTAGTTAGTGAAAAATAAGTTTCCTTCTCTTAGTTTTTCTTTTCTTTTGCCCCTCTTCCCTCTAAGAAGGAACCAAATGTAAGAACTGCCATATCCTGTCTGGTAAAAATCTTTATTTGGTCTCATAAAATGAGAAGTTGGGAAAATGCAAAATTCCTCCTCACAAAATTCTTCAGCATTTCCAGAATTATTAATAAAAATACAAAAACAAAGACTGGGTATGGTGACTGTGCCAGTTAACGTAGGTACTTGGGCACTACAAGCCAAGGTCAGCCTGAACAAAAAAGCAAGACCCTATCTGAAAAATCACTAACACATAAAAGGCTGGAAGTGTGGTTCAAGTGTTAGAAAACTTTCCTAGCAAATGGAGTATCTTGAGTTCAAACTCCAGTACTGCCTAAAAATAGCTGAATTGTCTCCATGTATATTAGTAGAGTATGATAAATACCAAACATCAAAATCCAGATATATCGTGTGTGTGTGTGTGTGTGCGCGCGCGCGCTTATCCTAGGGCTTGAACTCAGGGAGTGGGTACTGTCTCTGAGCTTTTATGTTCAAGGCTAGTATTCTATCACTGGAACCACAGCACCATTTCTGGCTTTTTCTGAGTAGTATATTGGAGATAAAAGTCTTATAGACTTTCCTGTCCAGACTGGTTTCAAACCATGATCCTCAGATCTAAACCTCCTGAGTAGCTAGAATTATGATTGTAAGCCACTGGCAACCAGCTCAGATATATCATTTTAATTCTTAGGTATATCATGTTAATATCATATTATGAAGATACCAATTTTCTCCAAAATCTATTGGTTAAACACATCCTAATCAAAACTCCAAAAGTCAAAATTTCTGTGGGAATGACCAAATTGAGTCTAAAATTCATGTGGAAAGGTAATAGAAAAAAAATTTTTAACCCATTTTGAAGAGAATTGGAGGGGTTATAATAAATGGTTTTAAAACTTAGTATAAAAGTACAACCATCAAGGAATACGTTCTGGGTATAAAATGTAAAATGATGCACTCACTTTGGAAATCAGCTTGGAGCTTATCAAAAGTAAAAGATAGGGATGGGAAGATGGCTCTGTGGTAGCGTGTTTGCCTTGCACGCCTGGGTTCGATTTCTCAGTACCACATAAGCAGAAAAAGCCGGAAGTGGCACTGTAGCTCAATTGGTAGAGTGCTTGCCTTGAGCTGAAGAGGTGAGGGACAGCACCCAGGCCCAGAGTTAAGGCCCCACGACTGGCAAAAAAAAAAAAAAAAAAAGTAAAAAATAGACTAACTATATGACCCTAGATCTTTACCCAAGAAATTGGAAAATATATGGCTATGTAAAGACTTAGAACCCAAATGTTAATAGGTGGTTTACTCATAACAGTGAAAACCTGAAATTATTCTAAATGTCTATCAACTTCAGAAAGGATTAAAAAAAACTGTGTATAACCACACAATTGAATACTTCTCAGCAATAACAAGGAATGACCCACTGATACATGTGAATTTCATGCTTTTTTTTTTGGGGGGGGGGGTCAGTCCTGGCACTGTGTCTGAGCCTTTCTGTGCTCAAGGCTACTTGAACTACAGTGCCACCTCTGGCTTTTTCTGTTTATGTGGTACTTAAAAATCAAACCCAGAGCTTCATGCATGCTTGGCAAGTACTCTACCACTAAGCCACATTTACAGCCCACACAGATGAATTTCAAAAGCATTATCCTACAATAAAAAGTCAGATATAAAAGACTATATTCACTAGGATTCCCCAAATATGAAATTGTAGGAAGGACAAGGTGATAGTGACAGGAAGCAGATCAGTAGGTACCAAAGGCTGTTGGTACAGAGAAAAGATCTGTTGCCAGGGACACAAGAGAACTGTGGGAGATGACAGACATGTTCAAGCAGTTCATGACTGTGGGCCATAGGCTGGAACTTCTAAACCATAAGCCAAAGTAAACCTTTTCTCTTACCAAGCTGATTTACCTAAAGTAATTGTTGCAACACAAAACTAACTAGACTAACAAAGCCTGGTGCTGGAGGCTTATGCCTGTAATCCTAGCTATACAGGAGGTTGAGATCTGAGGATCCAGGTTCAAAGCCAGCCCAGGCAAGAAAAGTCCATGATACTCTTATCTCCAATTAACCACCAGAAAACCGGAAGTGGCCCCATGGTTCAAGTGGTAGAGTATTATCCTTGAATACAAAAAGATCAGGGACAGCACCCAGGCCCTGAGTTCAAGCCCCAGGACTGACAAAAAAAACAAGCAGCAAGAAAGAAAGCAAGTGAGAAAAGAGAGAGAGAGAGAAAGACAGAAAAGAAGTAATCTGTCTTAACCACTTAATCTCTTTCTAAAAACCTCATCTTCCAACACTCCCACAATAACCATCCACTATCCACAGGAGTTCCAGAGGAGACAAAGGGTACTCAAGCCAAAGTAGAGCTAGTCCAAGCTTCTGTAGGGCCCTTCTAGGTTGTGTCTGGAAGACTGCCCCAACCTAAAAGTTCTACCACCTCCCCAAGTTCCCCAAATGCCATATGCTGGGAAACAAGTTTTGTTTTGTTTTATGGGGCCTCAACTCTGAGCATGGGCGCTGTCCCTCAGCTCTTCAGCTCAAGCCTAGTGCTGTACCACTGGAGCCACAGCACCACTTCCGGCTTTTTTCTTTTTGCTTATGTGGTACTGAGAAATCGAACCCAGGGCCTCAGGCATGCACGGCAAGCACTCTACCACTGAGCCACCTTCCCAGCCCAAAACAAGCTTTTTTTTTCAGTGGTTCTACTGAGGTTTGAACTCAGGGCTTCACATTTACTATGCATACAGCTACTACTTGAGCCACACCTCTAGCTCTTTCTGCTCTGGTTATTTTTGAGATAATGCCTCCATTTTTTACCAGGTTAACCTGGAACTGAGATTCTTCCCACCTCAGCTTCTTACATAGTTGTGATGAAAGGCACATACCACTGTGCCAGCTATTAGCTGAGATGGGTATTGTGAACTTTTTGACTGGGCTGGCCTCAAACCATGATCTTCTCAATCTCTGCCTCCCTAATAGCTAAGATTACAGGCCTGAGCCACTGGCAACAGGCTTGGGTCCAAGTTTTAACACATGAGCCTATGGAGAATATTTCATATCCAAATGACAGCACACCCACATTACAGCAATCAATCCTGGCATCATTAACAGATACATATTAGTAGTAACAGTAATAACCACTGATATTTATTGAGCATTTATAACATGCTAAGCACTAGCCTAAATACTTTCCATGAATTCATTTAATCTTTACAATGACCCTACAAGACAGGTATATATCCCTTGCTTTAAAGAAAGAACAATAGGAGCTTCCTAAGTATGTATTACAGATAAAGTCTAATAGCTGCACAATAGATGATGCTATTAATAAAGCATGATTTCCTGGACCCAGTTTAACCTTGTAGCTTATCAAATATAAGTGATACCACAGTAAATGGAGTTGGCTAGTGTTTGCCATAAAAATACTATGCTGTCTAGTAAACTACCTGGGAAAGACTTTGATCACTTTAGAAGAAACACACCTCAAAACCCAAAAATGCTTGCAATTCTTCCAAATACGCAAAATTACTGATCATCTCTACTTTAAAGAGATAACATCAACACAGACAAATGCTTAGACTATGACACTCCACTTTAAACTTTCAATCTTGGACTCACTTCAAAAAGCTTAAATATTCTTAATAAAAGACATGAGTTGAGGCAACTGCTGGGAAGACACCGAAATTGCCACCTTTCATCTCTGAGACTTGCTCCCTGCCAGAGATCTGAAATGACTTCACCCACTCACTGAACAAACTGAATCTCCTACCTGTGGGAACTAAACCCTGGGCATGACTTTAGGGCGTGAACAATTCACATGCCCTTCCAAACCTGCACAAGCACAGTCCAGACAAGAATTAGTCTCAGACTTTTCACTCTTTTAATTCTAGCTGTTGTTTGCATTCCACCATCCTGTTTCTCAGAGCCCTACAGAGAAACCCGAATGCCAGAGGCTAGAGAAAAGATGGGAACATCCTAGATGTTGTCCTAAAGTTTAACTTCTCATGCAATTGAAAACCCTCAAGGTTGCCAGTTGAGGAACTGTTGCTTTTCTTAAGTTCTAATTTAGTTCAGAGACCCATGCACAAAGAAGCCTAATTAAAATATCAACTGAGGGCTGGGAAGGTGGCTCAGTGGTAGAGCGCTTGCCTTGCATGCCTGAGGCCCTGGGTTGGATTCTTCAATACCACATAAGCAAAAAGAAAAAAGCCGGAAGTGGCGCTGTGGCTCAAGTGTAGAGTGCTAGCCTTGAGCTGAAGAGCTGAGGGACAGCGCCCAGGCCCAGAGTTCAGGCCCCATGACCGGACCCCCAAAAAAAAAAATAAAATAAAAATAAAATATCAGCTGAAAACAATAACTGTGTTTAACCAAAATCAAATTTGCTTACAGTGAGGTCTTTGCATTCTTCGTGGACTAGCAGAGTCTGAATTTATTTGTTTCTGTAAAACTTCATCAGAACATTCCAGAGCACCTTCCAGGCCTGGCTCAGAATCATTTGATTTTCCTGCTTCATTTACATGAGATTTGTCAAGGTTTTCAGACATTCTCAATTAAGTTTATTCACTGTCCTAGGAAAGAAAAAAAAAAGTGAGCCAAAAGTATTCTGTCACTAATTAGCAGGGTGACTGGGAAATTGTTACTGTTTTTAGTTTACTTGTCTGTAAAATAAATAGGTTTACTAAGATCTTATCCATCTACTGTATCCCTCTATTGCATAGTATCTGTTTGGTGGTACTGGGGTTTGAACTCAGGACCTCAGGCTTGGCAGGAAGAAGGTGCCATACCACTTGTCATGCCTTCAGCCCATACAATATTCTAATTCAGTGACTAAACAGATCATTGTAAAATGACATTTGTAATTTACCATATTTATAGACCTCAGATAAAGAACAATAGTTCAAGTATTTTTTTTCCTACTCCTGAGTAGCATGTATAAGAACACATGGTCTTGGGCTGGGAAGGTGGCTCAGTGGTAGAGTGCTTGCCTTGCATGCCTGAGGTCCTGGGTTCGATTCCTCAGTACCACATAAGCAAAAAAAAAAAAAAAAGCCGGAAGTGGCGCTGTGGCTCAAGCGCTAGAGCGCTAGCCTTGAGCTGAAGAGCTGAGGGACAGCACCCAAGCCCAGAGTTCAGGCCCTACAACCGGACCCCCCCCCCAAAAAAAAGAACACATGGTCTTAACAGAAGACAACACTATATAAGCTGCCAGCTTCTATTTTAATCAAAAGGAATGTCTCAACCTTATCTTTTTTTTTTAAAACAGGGTCTCACTAGTCTAAGGTTCACCTTGAATACACCACCCTCCTGCCTCAACCTCCCAGTGCTGGGATTACAGGTATATACTATCACTCCCAGCTCAATCTTCAATTCTTGTTTTGGTGCCTGTCTGAGGGCTTGAACTCAGGGTCTTATGGACTGTCTATAGGCTTTTGGGCTCAAGGCTGGAGATCTACCATTTGAGCAACAACTTCACCTTAAATTCTTTTGAACTAGTAAACTGATTTAAAAAAAAACAAAAACACTTGAAGAGTATGCTTATAATGACCTTCTAATAAATTTGGCTAAAATGGCTCTTTGACCTTATCATATGTATAGCTTGGGATAATAAACAGAAATACTGTATAAACTTTAAGTGTCAAAAACATGTAGGGTAGGTATTTTTATTAGCTTCCTATTTATTCTTTTCAGTCAGTAGGAAAAGACCACACTTAAAAGTAAGAAGTTGAAGACAACCATTAATGTATGTGACTGTATGAAATTTTCTTGATACTTGGGGCCAGTTAGTAAAAACATCTTAAGCACATGATTTTTTTTTTCTTTTTTTGCCAGTTGTGGGGCCTGAACTCTAGGCCTGGGCACTGCCCCTCAACTCTTTAGCTCAATGCTAGTGCTCTACCACTTGAGCCACAGTGACACTTCTGGCTTTTTCTGCTTATGTGGTGCTGAGGAATCGAACCCAGGGCTTCATGCATGCAAGGTTAACACTCTACCACAGAGCTTTTTTTTTTTTTTCTTTTTTAAATCAGTTGTGTGTCTTGAACTCTGGGCCTGGGCGCTGTCCAGGCTAGTGTTCTACCACTTGAGCCACAGTGCTACTTCCGGTGTTCTGGTAGTTAATTGGAGATAAGAGTCTCATGGACTTTCCTTCCTTAGCTGGTTTTGAACCATGATCCTCAGCTCTCAGCCTCCAGAGTAGCTAGGATTATGGGTGTGAGCCACCAGCACTGGGCTCAGCACATGAAAATTCTGATCAGGTTATTTTTTTTTTCTCCTGGAGCTTCCTATTCCTACGGTGTTTCTAATAAAGGGAGAAGAAACATATGATGTTTCTGCATTACTGAAAATAATTATCATTTGTACAATTAGCACCAGAAGATCACAAAACAATATCATAAACATTAATTAGACTGTTATTACACAGCTAGAAGGTAATCACAGGATCAAAAGAAATGTGGGTAGCTTCAGGGAAGTTTGGCCCAGTAGACAAAAAGGTCTCACTGGCATAATTATTTAAAATTCCAGAGACCTCCACAGAAATAGAGGGCCAAAGGGTGAACAAATGTAGCAATGGTACTCACTGGATACTACCTTGAAAATGAACTATACAAGTTTTGGGTGAGGATAGGGGTGGGAAAACTGGGAGAGTGGGAGGTTAAGGGGTGACACTGTCCCAAAAGAAATGTACTCTTACCTGACTTATGTAACTATACCCCTCTGGTATATAATAACAAGAAAAAAATTAAAAACAATTCAGAGACCTCCATTAAATAAAATGAAGTTATGCTGGACTTAAAATTTGGGGGGTCTGTAATACGAAGGTTTTAAAGTATTTCATCTTTCTAAACCAACTTGTCTTCTGATACCTATCTGCTCATTATCCTAAATCTTACTAGGGTCTGAAAATACTCCAAGATCCAAAGGATAACATTACCAGAATATTCTATGAGAAAAGGACAAACAAAACCACTTCTAATTTTATTCTCTCTCACAAGCTTGGGAAGCAGCCCAGAAAAGGTGAAGGAACTCATTCAGCACAGTAAGGAGAAAGGTAAGACTAGGTCTCTCATGCTCAGCTCAGTAAACTAACCCCCTCCTCTTAGGGTTCAGCTCAAGTCCTGTTTCTTCCCATGGCACTTCCTCCAACCTCACTAGTATCTGCACTTTTTAGACTTTGGTACTCATCACTGCCTTAAGTTTGATTCAAAACATGTTGATTTAAATAGATATACAAAGATGAAAAACTGCAAGGAAGACAGAGCTGCTCACAGGGATCTATAATGAAAGTTCAACTTCAGTGGCATTATGAAATTATTATTAGGAATAACAGAGGAAGAAATTACTTCTGTCCGTGAGGAGGTTGGGAAAAACCTTCCCAGAAAAGATAGCATGTGAGCCAAGAGCCAGAGTAATGGCCTATTGCCTGTAATCCCAGTTTCTCAGGGCTGCATAGGGTTGGACAAGCTTCTGCCAAATAACACCCCTCCCCCCCCCCAAAAAAAGGCTGGAGGGGTGGCTCAATTGGTAGAGTAGCAATTTCCAGGACCTGAGTTCAAACTTGCGGGGGGAGGGAGGAGGAGATGAGTCAGTCTTTGAAAGGAGAATCTTACCCAGCTTTGTATGGAGAAGGAAGCTGAGATTACTGACATGAGTAATCCTAGCTACCCAGGAGGTTGAGATGTGAGGATCATGGTTCAAAGCCAGTGCAGGAAGGGATGTCCATGAGACTCTTACCTCCAATTAACCAGCAAAAAGCCAAAAGTGGAACTGGCTTGAGTGACAGAGCCTCATTATTGAGTGAAAAAGCTCAGGGTTGGCCCTTAATTCAAACTCTAGTACCCATACAAAAATGAATGTGCCAGCCGGGCACCGGTGGCTCACTCCTGTCATTCTAGCTACTCAGGAGGCTGAGATCTGAGGATCGCGGTTCAAAGCCAGCCTGGGCAGGAAAGTTCGTGAGATGCTTATCTCCAATAAGCCACCAGAAAACTGGAAGTGGCGCTGTGGCTCAAGTGGTAGAGGGCTAGCCTTGAGCACAGAGGCTCAGGGTCAGCTCAGGCACTGAGTTCAAGCCCCAGGACTGACAAATAAATAATGAAAAAAGAGAGAAAGAGAAAGAGGAGGTGAAGAGGGTAGAAGGCAATGGGGATGGGAAGGTGGATGAGGCCAGGTGAAAAGTTTTTACTCTGTATATTTTTTAAATTCTTCACCTTGATTCTGAAATTCTCAAGTCAGAACCAGCTACCTTCCCCACACATGCGCACTCCAGGTAAAAACACCCTCTAAACAAAAATGCCCAATAAGTACGAATTGCCAGTCACGTCGGGCACTTGGGGGGACTTGCAAGTGGGATCTCGGAGGTAACTTGAGTCCAATTCTGCCTCTTGGCTGGCGGGGTGACTTCAGTGCTCCCTGGAGGGTAGATCAAGCCGGGATGGTGCTTGCCCTAATCGGGCACCCCAGCACCATCCTTACTACAATGAAAGATACTGTGGGGGTGCAGCACGCCAGGAGCCATTTAACTGCTCATTCATTCCCCATTTCCCAATCACCAACCCCTACAGTGCCCCGAGAGGAGCCTCCGTGTGGAGGGGTGCTGTCTGGCTGCGAAGACCCCCCCCCACGAGGTGGACGCGGCCCGCAGACCTGGGAGAGCCCCCCGCAGAAGGGGCCAGGCCTCCTCCCGGCGCCGCGCTTCCGTTGTAAACAGCTGTTGGGGCCGGCGAGGGAGTGGCGAGCCCGGGACAGGGCGCTGGGACGGCGGCCTGGAGGGTGGGCCTCGGGCCGGCCCCGGCCCCAGTTTCGCCCTCTCCTCCTCCCGACCTTACCCGACTCCAACCCGGCGGAAAAGGGCCCAGAAATGCCTGTGTTTCCGACCTCGCGCC